CCTGGAGAGTGCCTGGCTCTGGATCAGTAGTCTCCAACCAGCCAGTGGGCTGGGGTGAAACCACACGAGTGCTGTGTGGGCACTGAGGACCCCAGGTGGTTTTGGGGGGCCGCAGCCTGGGGGAGTCATCTAGAAAGCACCTCCCCTTGTTGGGGATGGGGGGTGAGCCCTGGGAGGCGGCAGCTAATGACTGAGCCAAGTCCTACCAGAGAGGAAAGTATGCGTATGGGAGAATAGTGAGGGCAGGCAGCATGGCTGAGCTGCGGGACCTGATGCAGTGGAAGCCCAGAACTCATAGGACCCAGGGGGAGGGGATGGCGGTGGACAGGCAGAGGGGTTCACAAGCCAGGATTCAATCCTGAGGTCTCAGGGGCGAGCGGGATGAGGGTCCCCTGAAGCCCATGTGCTGGAAAGGGGGGGCCAGAGGCTGGGTGGGAACTTTGGAGGAAGCCGCACTGGGAAGAGGTGAGGTCATGGTTGTTGAGACAAGGACAAGCAACAATGTCCTGGAGAGGCCAGGGTTGGTTGACTAAGGGGCAGGGGTGGGAGGAGTCAGGTGGCGCCCAGTGGCCAGATGGGGACACTCAAACTGCCAGGGCCACTGTCCCTCCTGCCCCATTCCCCCAAGCACCTCTCTCCCCCACCTCCCCACCTTTGTCACCTGCCAGGGGCGAGGAAGTTGCGGGCTCCATAACTGCAGCCTGTGGCTGGCGGATAGCCCACCTCTGAGACAGCCCTGATGGGTGACAGGTGGGAGGCTCTGCCTCCTCCCAACCAGGGCACTGGGCGCAGGGCAGCCAGCTGGCTGCTGAGCCTCTTCATGAAAGGCCAGCTCCTGTTTGTGGAAGGCCTGCATTCCGGGCCCCATGCCAGGCATCTTGAGTCCCTCAAGGAGTTTATCCCTCACCACGCCCCATCTCAATAACAAGCACCACGGGAACAACAGCGCCAGTTCACGGCGACGTCACCACCAGCTCGGTGCCAGGCGCCCTGCCTTGGTGTCTTACATGTACTGGACCATGGTTTGAATTGTCACACTAATGCATCATGGGTACAACTAGCCCTGACACAGACGAGGGTGTTGAGGCCCAGTGAGGCTCTGTAACTTTCCCATGTTGCGGAACTGGGAACAGAGAGGGCCATTTGCCCCGCTGGACTGGATGAATCTGCTTCTTGGGGGCACCTGTGTGAGGGTACACCTGGGTAAAGGGGGTAAGGATGGCAGAGAGGGCGGTGACTTCTTGGTGACCAGAGAGGGCTGAGGGACAATGACCTCCAAGGCAGGAGAGTAGACTGGACTGCAAACAGCCCTGGAGAGGCAGCTCTGTCTCCAGACCTTGTACCTGCACCAGGCTGGCCTCCTCTCCCAGCCACACCATGTCCCCACCGCCCAGGTCCTAGTGAAACCTAGCTGTCCTAGCTGGCCTCTTCTCTTGCTCCCCCGTGAATGCCCCTTCCCAAAGCATTCTGTGCCCTCCCTGGGTACTATCCGGCTTTCTCCACCTGCCAGGGGCTCTGTGGCTCCCCACTCTCCTGCCATGAACCTGGTGCCTCCCAGGGTGTCCATCAGCAGGAAGCTGGAATAGGGAGCAGGGTTGGGACTCAGATGCAGACACTCTGGGACATGGTGTCTAGCGTGGCCTCTGCCTATCTATTTATCTATCTATTATCTATCTATCTATCTATCTATCTATCTATCTATCTATTTATTTGTTGATGAGAAAGAGGCTTTCTATCTGCTGGCTTAGATAGCCAGAGCAGAGCTGGGTCAGTCTGAGGGCAGGAGACCCAGATGAAATTCTCCAGTGAAATCGCACATGGGAGCTCAGTCTCTCTACCTCTCCATCCTGGAGCCAGCCTGGACTCAAGGGGTGAGACAGTGTCACAGCCCGAGTGCAAGCCTCTCTGTAAGCTTCTCCGTCTTCCTCTGTCTCCTCGGAGTTCCTCTTTGCCCTGCCCACTGACAACACAGCCATGTCTTTCCTCACAATGACCCTATACCTCCTACATCAGGCTTTTGTTACCATCTGTGCTAACCACCCGCCTCTGTCTGAGTTCTAGGTCACCCCTAGGGCCTTGTCTTTCTGCACCCTGCTGTCCTTCCATGTGTGTGTTGGACCCCTGCCTGGGTCAGTCTCTGGGGACACAACCCCCACGCTAGCATCCTGTCTTCATGATGTCCCTGCCTGGGAGGGAGGTGAATGGGGAGTCAGGCCATTTGGTAAAACAAACATCAGCAGAGAGCACAGAGCAAGTATAGCCTGGACAGGAAGATAGGAGCCAGGAGCTTCTTCTAGACCTCCCAGGTAGATGCAGGGTTCTAGGGACTTGGACCATCCTTTACTGCTTCCCCAGACACATCAGCAGGGAGCTGGATCGGAAGTGGAGCACCCAGAACCCCTCCGGGGCCCATATGGGATTTGGTGCAGCAGGTGGTAGATTACCCTGATACACCACTGCACTAGTTGCTCAGATGACATTTTAATCACTTCCCCCTGGCACCGGACTCTGGGACTGGCACTGGGCTCCTGTGATGGAAGCGATGTCCCAGCATGCCTAAGCCTGACCCATAAGGAGTATGCAGTACGGCGGGAAACTCCCTAAGGCAAGGAATGCCCATGTAAGAAGTCAGACTGGAGACCACCAAGCTGTCAGGAAGCCCCAGGGAAGAGGGGCACGTGAAGAGGCAGAGGTGGGGAGGGGAGAGGGGTGCTCAAGCAGCTCCCTGCTGACACAGCCGCTGCACCGAGGCACCAGACATAGGAGGGCCAAAGCCATTTCTGGTGTCCAGCCCAGCAGGGCCAGGTCAGCTGGCTGGCACGTGCGCGAGCATTACAGGCTGCAGCCTAAGCCAGCGTGTGTGTGTGCTTGTGTGCTGACTGTTGACTCAACAAAAAGGTAATAGGTAATTTAATAGGCATGCCAGCCTCGGGGGAGATGTTATTGTTCCCACTTAACAGACAGGAAAATAAAGCCAGGGAAGGATGTGACTCAGCATGTGTGGAGCCAGCAGTTGGGGGTGTTTTGCTTTGCACTAGTTTATTTGAGACACAGAGCACACTCCCCAAACGCCGGCAGCACCTGGGGGAACTGGAAACACGAGCCTGCGGGTGGCAGGAGCCCAGGCTGCTGGGGTTTGGGGCAGGTCTGCCCATACTCTGTGGCACACTCCCAGCTGTCTGAGGCTGTGACCATCTCTTGGAGTCAAACCAGGTGGCCCTGGTGGCATTCTCTAGCTGGTGGCAGCCACTGTGGAGTTCCCTGCTGTGACTCGCTAGGGCATCGGCTGCTGTTGTGTTCTAGCTTGCTGTGTCTCCAGTTTGTTATGTGCTAAAGCAGGTGCTTGTGTTTTGCTATTGATAAGCGATGACTCACACATTGGGAAATGCAGAAACCTAAGTTCACATTGTGCTCGCTTCTTATGTGGGTACATGCCTACATGCACACCACCCACATCCAGAGTGGACTTGGGGCCTGGTGTAGGGGCACTGGGAGGTTAGGCCACTGCTTGAGACCGTGGCATCCCCTATCAGGGTGCTAGAATGCTATCAGATCTGCTTCAAGCTCCCTGCTGATGTGCCAGGGACGACAGAAGACAGCTCAGGAGCACTGCGTAGCACCCAGCTCTGGCACAGGTATTCCGGGAGTGAACCAGCAAATGGTTCTCCACTCTCTCTGTTGCTTTGCCTTTAACTCAATCTTTTATAGAGCAATCCTGGCACTGAAGTGTTGCTCTGTGCCACTGGGAGGCCTGAACCCCTCACTGTCACAGCCCACAGGTGCCACCTCTCAGATGAGGATGGTTGCTGTGGTGACCTTGGCCTATCTTCATGGATCTTGTGTTTGCAGCTTGTGGTCCTTCTTGGCTGCCTCCTCCTTTGACTCAGTGTCAGGCGTAGGTTGGACCCATAATCCTGCATGTAGCAATAATCCTTTCCAAATCACCAAGCAGGCGTCTCATATGGGAGTGTGGCCTGGCCTGGGGGTTCCTTCTACTGCCCATGGACACTCCTGGGGTCTGGCTGCGTGGGCTGCTGGGAGCAAGGCTGGGGTGCAGATGGCCAGGCCAGGTACTTCTCTGTGGTGGTGCCAGGCTGTGTGCTGCACACAGGCCTAATTTGACAGGCAGGAAGCTGCTGGCTGCCATAGAATCTGGAGGGACGGCAAGCTTCCATCCTCTGCACGTGTTGCCAACACTTGGCATGGTCAGTGCTTCTCCCGAGACTTGCTCCTGGCAGGGACGTGGGGATGCCTTGTTTCAGTGGCTGACAGGGAGGCAGAAAGAGGCTCCCACATTCAATGTGTCAGATGTGGAACCCCACCCTGACCGAGACGCCCTATGTACCTCATTAGCTGGACTCACATCACAGTTCCAGTCCTGAGCCAATCAGGTGCCAGCTGCTCCGCAGTCTCAGTGGATGCTCCGAGCTCCTGTTCCTGAACTCTCCAGGGATATGGCGCTTACTCCCACTGGGCTTGCCTTTTTTGCTCTCCTCTCCCCATCCCGAGAGGGGTCCTAGCTCAGCTTCTTCCTGAAGCTTCCCACCAGGTGGCTGGCCAAGCTGGGGTTTCCTCTGGGGCTCCACCACCTCCTGGGCCCGTGGTGCAGGAGCAGGGTCATGGCCAGCACTGCCGGTGATGAGGAGGACACCTGGCCCTGTGGGCCTGGATTTGGGGGGCCCCATCCAGGTTCAGGCACAACCTGTGGGCATTGGCTCAGTATAAGACTAAATGGAAAGAAAAATGGACCCATAAGTTGGAGAAGCAGGCTGGGTGTCAGAGAGGGAACGAGGCTGACCCAGGGTCATGGTCAGGGTCTTTCCAGGCTGGGAGGGGCCCCCAGATTCTTGGCACCAAATCCAGGAAGCAAAAAAAAACAAGGAGCCGGTGCTTCCCCTAGCCTTCTCAGTGTGGCTGCAGCACCAGAGGCCTAGCCCTGGCCTCACAGCTCCACCCTCAGAAGCTCCAGCTTCAGGAAGGACCAGGTCCCACAGGAGTGCAGGGGTGTGGGTGCAGAAGTCACCTTCACAGGGAGCCCAGTTGGCTCTGCCCGCCCTGCTTGCCATCCAAGATGCTAATGCTGTCAGAACTCTTTATTACAACAAGTAGGCCCCCAGGGCGGGGCGAGGAGCCTGCAGGCCCAGAGGCTCCAGGGCCTGTGCCCGGAGTGGTGGGACCAGGGGCACCTCCCTCTGTCCATGTGTCCCTCGGCCAGAGTCTCAAGGGGCGAGCCTACCCAGGACAGGAAGTAGTCAGTAGGAGGTAGGGCTGGAAGAGAGACACTGGCACCTGCCTCAGCCAGCAGTCAACTCTGGGTCTCCCAGAGTCCCTTGGGGCAGGGCCGCGGCCCCGAAGCCCAAGCGAGGAGGAGTACAGAGGCGGGAGTGGGGGTGGGTGGGTGGCAGTGATGGAGGCACACAGCCACCAGGAATGGCTTTTTTAAAAAGTATCAAGTGTTTCTGGGAAATAAAAAGGGGGGAAATCTATATAAAAATCTCTTCACATATAAAATCCTGGAGAAGGTGCAAGGTAAGACCCAGTGCGAGGGGCGCGCTCAGATATGCAGAGTGTATGTCCAGGTGTGTGCCTGTGTGTGTCCGTGGGTGCATGTATGTCAGTGTATATATGCCAACGTGTGTCCGTGTATGTGTCCGTGTACGTATGTCGGTGTATATCAGTGTATATGTCTGTGTTGATGTGTGCATGTCCATCTGTGCAGGGTCAGGGAGTGCCTGTGCAGCCCACAGATGGGGAAGGACCCTTGGCTTCTGACTTCACACTGCTGGGAAGGAGGGTGACGGGTCAGCACAGGCAGGCGGTCTGCAGCTCAGCTGGACTTCAGGGACCTGCAGGACAGGGAGAAGGCGCTGAGGGCCAGAAATGCCTGGGCCCCAACCTGACATGGACCAGGATAGGTGACAGTGTGTCCTTCCACCCCTCTCAGGTTTGATGGCTGGGTCACTATTGCTTCTCTGGGCAGCTCTCCAACAGCCATGCCCATCCTGGGTGCGTCAGCAAGCCCTGAGGACTTGGCAGCTAGCAGACGCTCCAGGTTGACGTGGTGTGGAAGGTACAGTGCAGGTGGTACCAGGCAGTTGCTGTTTGCCTGGCAGCCAGGAGTGCCTGGACTGAGACCCAGCTTGGGCTCTGACTCCAGCTTCTTGCAGGTGCACCCTGGGAAGCAGGAACGATGCTCAGGCTCCTTGTGTTGGCCTGAGCCTAGCCCTGGCTCTTGGGGGCATCTGGAGAGTGACCCAATAGATGGGAATGGTTCTTACGTTTCAGATAAATTAAAAAATTTCAAAAAAAAAAAAAAAACCACTTCAGGCCCTTCAAAAGTGGGAACGACTGGCAAGCAAGCAAGGGCAGGGATGGCCACAATAGTTGGGCAATGTGCCCATCCTGGGTTAGTGCTGGCCGTGGGACCCCCTGATGCACCGGCAGTGCAGGTAGACACAGAGCCCCTGGCCTGGGGTGGAGGACCCAGTGAGTCCCACCTCCAGGCAGCCCACCCACCCAGCACCCACCTCGCCTCTACTCAGCCAGGCTGCCGCGCACCGCCTCCTTCTCCTGCAGGGCAGCCATGGCCAAGCGCAGGTGCTCCTTCAGCTGCCCAATCTCCCGTTCTGAGCGTGTCTTAATGTGGTTCAGCTCCACATACACATCCTGGTACTTTCCTGAGGTGAAGCGCTTGTCCTGGGGGGGGGAGGGGAGGGAGCCGTAAGGCCAGAAAGCCCCACCCACTCTGCCCCGCCTACAGTCTGCAGGGTGCCCACTCAGGCGCAACCCTCCCACACCAACCCGGAGTGGCCTTCCAATCTCCTTGGGGGATTGAGGACGGAGGCTGAGGAAGGCCATGTCTGCCCAAGGCCACAGGCAGTACCTGGCTATGAGCAGAGAACCAGCTTAGCCAAGCCCAGCGCCTAGACCCTGTGCTGAGTCTTCCAGGGCAGCCCCCACAGCGCCACCAATGGGTCCCCTTCAGGGCAGGAACATGGCATGGGGACATTGTAGCCCAGGGGGTAAATCTCAGCTTTCTCACCCACTGGCAACCAAGCTTGTTTGGCAAGGGAGTACAGTCTTTTGTCACCCAGGACGGCGTTTGGCACCTAGGAGGTGCTTAATAAATACATAAAATAAACTGAATCCATCAGAGTCTTGGCCTGTCTCCTTATCTGTGAGTGGGGTTGACAACCACAAGGGAGGGCAGAGGACAGGCTCGGAGGGGGCGTGGCACACAGCAGGTGCACTGGCGCCTGTGCGCAGGTGGCACTGCCGCCTCCCACCCCGGCTGCACGCACCTGTTGCAGTGTTTGCAGCTCGTCCCGGAGGCACTGCACCTGCTTCTTCAGGCACTGCAGCTCCTTTTCCTTCACCCGCAGCAGCACCTGGCATCACGGAGACAGGGACACTCGGGCACAGAGACCAGGGCTGCCGGGTCCCCTGTGGTCTAGCTTCTCCCCACTCCTATACCCCAAGAATACAGCCCAACCTGCACAAAGACCCACGGCGTTCCAGAAGCTGACTCCTCCAGGAAGTCCTCTCTAAGTCTCCACTTCCCTTCTACCCCCCCTCCCCCACAAGCAGGTTGTCTTCCCTACACAGTCCTGGCCCGCAGCTGTGAGGCCTGGGTGACATCCTGGGGCCTAATGGGGGCCTCAGCCGCCTGGGCCTCTACTTATGCCCCTTGTACATCCCGAGGGGCAGATGTGGCCAACTTGACTGAAAGGGGATGGACTCAGCTGGGGCTGGAACACTTGCAAGGAAGATCCTGGTCTGCTCCTGCACCCCTGGGCACCTGGGCCCCAGCACCAGATGCCCCGTGTGGCGGGAACACTAGTGAGCTGGTGGGGCTGTGCGGGAGACAAGGGGATAGTCAGGACAGGATCACAGAGGCTCCCTGGTACACAGAGCCCTGTGGAGGAGGCATCTACCAGTGAATGAAAACATCAGGGAGACGCCGGGAAGGCACATGCGTGGACCCACTCTGACCTCCCCCAGGCCCTCAGAGGCACTAACATGGCACCCACCAGAAGAAGGGGTCTAAGAGCAGGCAGATGACTGGCAGCAGCGGGTGGGAAGGGTGCAGGTGGGCGTGTGGCAGGGGATCCTCCTGTGCCTCCTGGGGCAGTGACCCTCCCAGCCTGCAGGGAGCTCTCCTTACAGCACCAGGCCCCAGGAGGCTGGGCTGCCGGGTCAAGAGAAGGTGGGGTGTTCTCACCTCCAGCTCGCAGGAACTCCGCTCGCTGTGCCCGGAGCCACCTGCACCCTGTGAGGCCACGAAGCCACGCAGCCGGTCAATCTCCTCCGACAGGCGGGCATGCAGTTCCTGGTGGGGTGGGGAGCAGTGGTCAGGGTTGGGGGGGCAAAGGCAAGGCCAGGCCACCTGCACAACATCTCACATCTTGGGACTGGGCCCACCTGGTTGTGGCGCAGTAGTTCCTGGCCCTCCTGTTGGCAGCGCCGCAACGTGTGTTCCCGCTCTTCAGCCTGCCGTGTCAGCGCCCCAATCTCGAGGCACTTCTGCGAGTACTGCTCCGATAGCACCTGCAGCTCCCGCTTCAGCGCCTCCACGTCTGACCTGGGCAGTGGCACAGAGAAATGCTGCTGGAGGCCTCTGTCCCTGCCCAAGCTAGGGGTGTAGTCTGGCTGGCTCTCTCCCCAATGTGTGACAGCGATGGCCTCCCTGGACTCCAGGGTGAGCTGGGGGTCCCCTGTAGGCCCACGTTGCCAAACTAGGCTATAGCATGGGGATACTTACTGGTCATAAGTGACATGGCAGCCCGACTCTAGGGAACACTGTGAAAGTGACGAGGTAGAGGCCAAGACAGGACTGACGAGGAGCGGCCTGAACCTGCGCCTCCCAGCACTGGCTTGGGAGCCACCCAAGCCCTGTGGCTATTCCTGGGGTCTGGGATGCTGAAGGGAGACTCTGCAGTGGACACTAAATGGACATTTCTTCTGCCCTCTGCACCCTCCCATCTTCCCAGGCCCAGTGCCTTACTGGTGCTGCTTGCGGAGCCCATCGGGTCCCTGCTGGAGACAGCGCGTTTTGCTTAGCTCGCGGCTCAGCTCTTCCTGGTAGGCCTTCTTCATGGCTTCAATGGCTGGAAGGAGGGCAGAAAGGAAGGAGAGGAGCGGGAAAGGAGTGAGCATCTCGCGGCTGCATGCCTGGGACCCCATGGGCACCAGTGCAGAACACCAGGCTGTGTGTGTGTGTGTGTGTGCGTGCATGTATGCAAACAGCTGTGGAATCCTGGCCATGAGCTGAAACCCCCTTAACTGTCTGACCCAGCAGACACTGCTGGAGACACGCCTCGGCCTCTGCCCCTGGGAGCCCCTGCTGGCAGTGACTTCTGGGGAAGATCACCCCCCATGGCGTGTGTTCCCTAACAAGGCCCACCTCCACCTGCCCAACGCAGCCTTGGGCTCTGCAGTCGGTACAAGTCTATATGCGACTATGGACAGGTGACCACCCCACAGGGTCTCGGACTGTCTTCTCTGGAGACTGCAAACCTTTCCTTCGTGGGGGGCGGATCACCGAAAGATGGGGGGGCGGGTCCTGGGAACAAGGCCTACCCGCTGCCCGCTGGCTCCAGCCCTTGACTGTGGGCTGCAGAGGACTGGGTGGTTGTGAGGATAGTATAGGACACCAACTGGGTTCTGTCTGCAAGCCCAGGATGCTGCCGGCTTCCCATTGCTCTTTTGCGGAGAACCGAGGCCAGAGCAGCAAGAAGCTGTCGACAGTCGGTCTTGTTCCCTCAAGGTGAGATCTCTATCCACATGACAGCCAGAAGGTCACACTGGAAGGGCAGAGCCAGGTGCCAGGGCGAAGGCCGACACTGCTGGGGAAGGGGCTCTCACACATGGCTCCTGCTCAAGGGCCAGGGGGCACAGATGGGGCACCAGCAGGTTGGAGGTCACCATTCACAGGCCTCGCATCTCTTTGTGCTATTCTGCAGACCCCTCCCACAGCAGGCGTGCAGCCCACCCAGGGGGAACACTGCAGGGTGGGGCTCAGAGCACGGCTTTGTATCACTGTGCTCCAGAGTCTTCTGCCTTGGCTTCGCCACCTCCAGCTGGAGTCATATGGCATGAGTTGCTAGCCTCTCTGAGCCATCCCAGCTGTGAATTGTGGACGTTCCCTGGCCACCACAATGGCAATCTTATGGGGGAACATATTGTGGGTGCAGAACCTGACTCAGGCAGCAACCTTGCTGCCCCGGGGTCTATGTGCCCTGCATATCTAGGGGAGATGACACCCTACAAAGATGGGGTCTACAGCCAGTCAGTCACTGTCCCAGTGTGGGCAGCCGATGGGCATGAGGGGACCTCTCAGTGGCTACAGGGGACAGGGTTCACAGCCCATGGTGGCAGTCAGGGGAATCTTCTGCCTCAGTTTCCCCTTCAGAGACCTGCTCTGGGATCTTCTGGCTCCTCTTGCCCACCTGCTCCATGAGCGGCACTGAGACCTCTGCCTTGTATTCCGAGGCCTCCCCAGTCCAGGCAGGTGGAAGCCACCTTAAGGCTAGGCCTCCCCCATGTGACACGTGCCCCTGCCGGGGGTCCTCACCTGCGGCCGTAGCCGCCGTCTCCTCAGCCAGGAGCCACTCCTTCTCCTGCTGCAGGCGCTGCAGCTCCCGCTCGTGGTGCCGCTGCAGCTCCTCCATGACCTGCTGGTGTGAGGACTCCATCTGCGCTAGACTGCGCTCACACGCCTCCTGTGGGCCACAGGCCAGCTGGTCAGTCCAGAAACCCAGAAGCCTCGGGGGTAGACCCGCCGACCAGCTCTCCTGGACCCCATCCCGCCCCTGCTCTCTCGCTCTCTCCCCTGCCACTTCAGAATCTTCTACTAGGCTGACCCCATGGCCTCCATCCTGCCCCTTCCCTGCTGAGTACCTTCACAGTTAGAAAATAGAACTTGTAGCAGGCTCATGCCTTTGAGCATCAGCTCATGTCATTTCCACTGCCTGGAATGTTCTATGGCAACTTTCTCTTCCTGGGGAACTCACTACGCTGTAGCCCCAACTGTAGATCTCCCAGCTCTGTGCCCAGGGGCCTCTCTTGTGTGTCCAAGAGTTTTTTCCCTGCCAGACCCAGGTCCCTGAAGACCTGGGACAGCAAGCCCAGCATGGTCCCAGGGTGTCAGCCAGGGCCTACCCCTTGGCAGGACTCCAGGACTGAGCTAAGTATACAAGGGGATTTATGGACATGCATTTATCTATAGGCAAGGATTTACAGGGCTTGCAACATGCAGTGCTGGCAGCACAAGCTGGGCAATGGTGGGGAGTGGCCATTTGGCGGCAGGATCACATGGGTCACCCATCATCTGCCTTTGACCTAGTGGGTCCATCCCTGCGAATGACCCCCAGGGGGAAGGCAGGCATGGTTCCTCCCTTCGGCAAGGCAGGCAAGGTAGAAACTGGCAACAAGCTCAGTGTCTCACAGGGAAAACTTTATGAATAAATGATAGGATCATTACAGAGGAGCCCAAGCTGTTGTGAAAACCGTCGTTGGGGCAGGCATCATGGCTGTGAGTCAAACCACAGTTCGGGGTGCCTATGTCCCCTATCAGAGTGTGCGTTCGAGTCCTGGCAATTCTTCTGATCCAGCTCCCTGCCAATGTGCCTGGGAAGGCAGTAGACGATGACCTAAGGACCAAGTCTCAGTCCCCCATATGGAAGACCTGGGTAGAGCTGTAGGTTTCCGGCTTTGCCCTGGGCTGGCTGCACTGTCATGCTCATTTGGAGAGTGAACTTGTGGATGGATGATCTCTCTGTTGTTGGCACTCACCCTTTCAAATAAATCTTAAGACAGAGTTGCCTGTGTGGACAGGTGTGAGAAGGTTGGATTTTGACAACTCCTACGGGGTGAGCCTCTGGTGAAAACGGACAGGAATGGACATGCGCGGGTGTTATGTCTGAGCACATGTTTGTTCATTTCCAATTTTCAAGACACAAAGAGATCGCCCATCTGCTGGTTTACTCCTCAAACGTTTGCCACTGCCAGAATCCAGGCCATCTATGTGGATGGCAGGGTCCCAGGGAGCTGCCTTGGGAGCAGGCATTGGAGGCAGACCTGCACTGGCACTAGGCAAGGTGACAGGGAGGCGGCAGTCCCAAGCAGCTGAAGTGCTGCACCAAATGCCACTTTCCCTCAGCGCACATTTGTAGAAACATGGAAAACAAGGCGGAAGGGAGTGGGGTGGTGGGAAGAGACCAGCATCCCCCAAAGTTTCTCGGGGCTTTTCCCCAGAACCCATGACCACTGGGCGAACGGAAATGAAGGCTGCCAATCAGTGGGTGACAGCTCCTCCTCGAGCCGCCCCCGAACCCCCCTTCAGCTGCCCCTCATCACTCCCTGAGCGTATCCCACCTGTTGCCCAGACAGGTGGAGGTGCAGTGCCCAGCGGGTGTCCAGGCTCCTGGCTTCCAGACAGAGTTGGCTCACAGCCCCCTCTAGGCCTCTGTGCCCTGGTCCAGGAGCTAAGAGGCCAGAGCTAGCGCACTTTTCCAACTTGACGTTAATGGCAGAAACTTGTTTCAAAGGAAACCTAGAACGCATTCTAAGAATACAGGAGACAAAGACAGAGCTGCTCCAATCAGAGGTGGTGCAACTGCACCTGTGCAGCCCCCTCCCTCAGAAAGGGGGTCTGAGATGGTCCCAGCTGCCTTGGGCCATGGGGCCTCAAGAGGTCCCAGCGACCCCCCTCCCCAGCTTCAGGAAGGTTGCGACAATGGTTGTCCTTCCTTCTCCCTTCCCCAAACCCATGTGATGGCCCAGGTAAGCCTTCCACACCAGACCCCAACTCCCCCTCCCCCAGGCCTCCTTCAGGCCTCGAGGGTCTTGCACAGCAGCCTCTGTGGGCTGACCTCTGCCTTCCTAAATCCTTTCCTCTCCAACCCAACTCCTGTTCTAGCCCCGTCCCCAGCTACCACCCCTCCAGCCTCACTCTCCTGGTGTTGCTGGCTAACCCCAGCCCGCCTTCAGTCTACGAATGGAATACCACCTCCGCAGGACACACTAAAGATGGCTCCCTCTCCAGTGGACCCCCACACCCTTTTCAATTCAGGCCACAGCCAGATCCCCACTTGGCTCAGCATCTACCACTTCCCCCAAGAGGCCTTCCTGAGACCCTGCACTGTGGCCTCACCACCTGGAAACTGCCAGAAGCTTCATCTCGCCCAGGACATGGGGCTCCAGCACCCTTCTCCCCTTTAGGCAATAGTGTGCTGAGAGCAGAGGGCAGAATGTGAAAATGCTAGGAATTCTGAGACACAGTTATTAAGCACAGCCATTGTTAAAAATAACATTTATGAGCCCAGCGCTGTAGCCTAATGGCTAAAGTCCTTGCTTTGCAACTACCAGGATCCCATATGGGCACCAGTTCATGTCCCAGCTGCTCTACTTCCCATCCAACTCCCTGCTGTGGCCTGGGAAAGCAGTCATGGATGGCCCAAAGCCTTGAGACCCTGCACTCACATGGGAGACCCAGAGGTGGCTCCTGGCTCCCGGCTTCGGATCAGCTCAGCTCTAGCCATTGTGGCCACTTGGGGAGTGAACTAGCAGACAGAAGATCTTTCTTTCTGTATCTACTTCTCTCTCCAAATCTGACTTTCCAATAAAAAATACACAAATTTTTTTTTAAAATTTATACAGTTACAATTAAATTAGCTACATTAAAAAAAAAAGTCAGGGCCTGGCGCAGTAGCTCAGTGGTTAAAGTCCTCTCCTTGCACACACTGGGATCCCATATGGCATTGGTTCATGTCCCGGCGGCCCTGCTTCCCATCCAGTTCACTGCTTGTGGCCTGGGAAAGCAATAGAGGACGGCCCAAAGCCTTGGACCCGGCACCCATGTGGGAGACCCAGAAGAGACTCCTGGCTCCTGGCTTCGGATTGGCCACAGCACTGGCCGTTGTGGCCACTCGGGGAGTGAATCAGCGGACAGAAGATCTTCCTCTCTGTCTCTCCTCTTGTATATCTGACTTTCCAATAAAAATAAATACATACATATATATATATATATATAAAGGTCATAGAGACTGCAAGGGCACGTATGAAGCTACCACCTATTCCACCTGCCTGCTGCAAACTTGAGGAAGGGTGCACACCCCTTTCTAGCCCCGAGTTCCACCTCACACCAGCCATCCTGGGAGGATCTGCGGCATGGATACTGCCGAGCATCACAAATCAGGGCTTTCAATTTACTATTCTGTTGATTACGCAACCTCAAGCAAGTGAGGAAAGTCAGGCTGGTGCCAACCCCAGGGCACAGCGAGGTGGCCTTCCCGCAGCCCTTCCGCAGCACACAGAACCAACAACTGCACAGGTGTTCTCGGGTGAACATTTTCTCATCCACTCAACAGAGAACTCTCATCCTGCTCGGCCCAGCAGCTGCTCACGGCACCGGCCAAGGGACACTTTGGTTTGTCTTCTCATCTTCTTCACCAGCCCACACGCACAGCAGGGCCACACGTGTCCATGACAGGGCTGTGACCCGAGAGCGCGGGAGGCCACAGAGAGCAAGCCGAGGACAATCCACCTGCTACATGAACTCACAGCGCAAGGCGTTGGTGTCCTTTTATTTTGTAAATTGTGTGTCAGACAATTTACAGCTTGTTTACAACACCAGTGAAATTCACAGTAAACATGGGTAGGTATCTGTGTGTACACACACACACACACACACACACTTCTGGAGAACCTCCTGTCCCAGCTGTCACAACCAGAAGTGTCTTGTGGACACAACAAAATGTCCCAGGGCACCAGATGCCCATGTCCCGGCCTTGGACCCCTGTCCTGCAGGGCTCGGACCGGCCAGCCGAGCCCAGAGCTGCCTGTATTTAGGGAGCGACTCCAGGGCCACTGGCTCCCCGCTTCCCCAGAGGGGGGATGCAGGGGAAGCGGCCCAGATGCAGTGTGTCACACGGGGACTCACACACGGGCTCTGCCGTCAACCGGAGCCTGGCTCAGATCCCACTTCTGACACCTGCGGGCCGGGTGACCTCGGGCAAGTCACATAACCTCTCAGGGCTCAGTGGTCTGGTCTGTAAGATGGGCACAGTGACCACGCCCACCAGCTGTGGGAAGATGGAGATGATGGCATGTCAGACGCCTCACACGGGCCCAGCACACAGGCCCCAGAATGTGGAACAGGACCCTTTCTGCACCCCCACCCCAATCCCTGGCTCTGCTGGTCTCAGCTCCTTTCTGATCACACAGCAGCCAGAAAGCTGTCCCAAAGTCCCACAAGACAAGACGACCCCCGCCCCCCTCCTCACCTGGGAGATGTAGCCTGGGGGAATGGGGATGTCTTCCTGCGACCTGGGCGAGTGCTGGGGCGCCTCCCCTCGGGTCCGCCAGGCCTCCAGCTGGGCACGGAGGGACTGGACCTGGAAGGAGAGGAGGTTGGTCAGTTAGGGCTGGCGGCTGTGAGCCCAGCCACCCGGAACTGCCAGGGAGAATGCTGGGTTTGAATGGGAGATGAGTACCATGGGACAGCCATGGTGCAGAGACAACAGGATTGGCAGTGGGACATTGCTGAGACAACCCCTGGCAGCCTGTGACCCTAGGAGACCACGAAGTGGCTATGAAGATTACACTGGCCGAGGGAGGCAGAGCACCAAGCCTGAGGTCTGCCTGATAAATGGTCCCTCTGCCGGCCCACACACCTCCCCACGGCTACAGGACTAGGAAGAAGACAAAAGGCCACGTTTGGGGAAGATTCCAGTTCAGAAGGCGCCTACGGTGCCAGTGACTGAGGGTGAGCTCCCCATTGCAAAAGGTATGCAAGACAAATGCCAGAACTACAGGGGTGCTGTGGGGCCAGGGGCTCCCAGAGAGGCCAGCCTGGGTGCTTACCTCCTTCTCCAGTGCTTCGTGGCTGTCACTCGGGGCCGCCCGCCGCTCCCCACGGCTCTGGTTGAGCAGGGCTGTGAGAGGCACTCGCTTACTGTCCCTCAGAGGCAGCTTCTCCAGTTCTTGCCACTTCTTCTCAATCTCTTCGCTCAGCCGGCTCTGCTGGTCCTCGGTTAACGGGGCGCCCAAGCCCCTGCGGGGCCCCTCGCTGGTGGGCGTTTCTGGGGTCCGGATGTCTGTGGCCTCAAACCACTTGCGCCGCTCCTCGGAGCGCTGGGCCAGGTCCCGCTCCAGTTCTTCCTGCTTGGCTGGCCGGTCAGGAGCCTTGGCCGGGGTGCGGGCCCTCTGCGGGGAGCTTTGGCTCAGTGGGGACAGCTCCACGTAGTCCAGGGCCTGCCGTTGCCCATCTACCTTGCGGGGGCCACCCCGGCTGATGAGCTCAGGGCCCGCCCGTTGCTCCCCTGCCTTCAATGAGCCCTTTGAAGTGCCGTAGCTGTGCAGCGTGTTCTCCTTATTGCAGTCTGAGAGCCTAGGACGCCAGCAAGGTCATGTCAGGTGCAACCTGGCCCCCCTCACCCCCAGGGAGCACTTCCAGGGTGTCCCCTGGCATGCAGGCCCTAGGCCTAGACAAGGGCCACACCAGGGGAGGAAGCATACCAGCATGCACAGGAAGAATGCCAGCTTCTTAGTTAGCAGACCCTGGGGTATGCCAACTGCACTCTCACCAGCAGAGGGACCTGCCTATATGGTGTCCCCTCCCCTTTGCACCCCAGTACCTCAGCTGTAACATGGGAGAGCAGTGCCTCCCCCAGGATGGAAATGAGTGAGCAAATGTGTCCACAGAGACCAGGGAGCCCACTATGCTGTTATCATAAATAAGAGGTGAGATAAAAACAGAATGAGGCTTGGGCCTGGACTCTAGTGGCTCCTGGTGGAAGAGGGTGAGTGATGGGATGAGCGCAGTGACCCTGGGTGCCTAGAGGACACACAGCTGAGACTTGGAGCAAGTATAGTGGTTCTCGTCCTCCTCTCCCTGGTACCAGCTGGGGACATGGGCCCTCAGCAAAATCTACACTTCTGGCAGCTCTGGCAGGCATGTATGGCCATGTGATCCAGGGTCCAGGGTGTGAGTGGCGGCTCCGTAGGAAGGGCTGGGACTCCAAGAGTGTCTGAGCAGTCAGTTCTGTGTGACCCTGATGGTCACAGATAGGCCAGTGTGTCTTGCACTTTTTCACTGAAGCAGCTGAGCTTATTATGTACTAAGTAACAGTCCAGCCACACTGCGCTTCAGGGCTTTGCACGAGGTTCTGGGTGTAGGTGCATACCAGTCACACACACACGCGCAAGTGCACACGTGTGACACAAACATGACTCAGGAGGAGGCAGAAACTCAGAGGGGAAAGCCACTGGCCTAAGCTCAGCACTTACTTGGTGACATCGGGGGCTGACGCTGGACGCACAGTCTTCCTAAGAGCCTCGATCCAGTTCCGCCGGATGCCGGAGGTCATGGCCGACAAAGTGTAGACAGCATCCTTGGTCTACAACAAACCCACCCAAGGGTATATTGTCTTGTGGTCAGCCTTGAGGCTCCCCTCCCGCTGTGGACCCCAGGGTGGGCGGGGGGAAGTGGGACATCCCTAGGGAGGCTGTCCGCAGTGAACAGAGGGGACGCACACTCTGCTCGGCCTAAGTGAGGGGCACAGGACACCAGAGCTCTGATGGACTCTGAGTAAAGGAGGGACAGGGAAGCACTGTCCACACTCTCCCTTATGTCCCTCTCTGCCTTCCATCCCCAGTTCCCCACCACAGCCCCAGCCTCACGTGGATCTGGAAGCCATAGTTGCGCTGCACCATGCACTCGCTGACATCCGTGCAGGAGCGTAGGTCAATCTCGCCATCCAGCTCATCTGCCTGCAGCAGGAGGGCCAGCCACGGTTCATGCAGGCTTGGGAGACCAAACCGCCCACAGCCCTCCCGACGCCCCCACACGGTCTCACCTCCTCAGCCGTGGAGTCTCTGTAATACTTGAGGCTTGAATCTGTCAGCACAAACCAATGCTTCTTCCACTGTGGGGTACAGGTGCAGGTACACATAAGTGGGGAGGGTCGGAATGGGGGTGGGAGTGAGACAGCACACCAGAGCCACTGCAGGGAACCACTCAGAGTGAAAAACAAAAAACAAAAAACCCCAGCTCTGAAGGCTGGCCTCAGGGGCAGTGCCTCTGCTGGCTCCTCCCTCACAAGCACAGCCCCCCAGGTTCCCCCCCTCCCCGGAATCTCTCTCTGGTTTGTAGAAGCTCCCAATCAGGCCCCTTCAGCCAGCCTCACCCCATCCCAGATCCAGGAGGGGCTGGGACCTGCGTCAGGTCACTGCCCGGCCAATTCAGAAGTGGAGCCAGAACGAGGCAAGAACTTTCCCTCCAGTATTCCCTTGAGTCAGCACGGGGCCTGAAGACAGGCCTCAGAGGGGGCAGGATGGGAGCTGAGGTAGGTGTGTCTGGCTTTATGCCCTGGGTGGGTGTTGGCAGCCGGGCACTCACCAGGACCTGGACGTTTCTTCTTGAGGATCAGGCATTTTACCTTAGTGCCTCTTTCTGCTCCCACCAGGGTTGGGCTGGCGGGACCCATTGGAAAGAGGCTGATGACATCCCAACCCGGCTGAGCTCAGCCACTCCGAGCAGATCCTGGTCACTCCACTGGAATGCCAGCTACGGTCCACCCACTGCCAGGGTCACTGCATGTGGCCCAGTACCCCGCCCCCAGGCCTCCCTCGTTGCTTAGTTGTGCTTCTCTGAGGGGGACACTTGCTCCCTAGGTGGAAATCCTCCGATACTGCCTGAGGGCTTCAGGCCAGCGTCTCCCCTTCTCTGAGCTCCAGACTTCTGACCTCTACTGGGGGCTAGTAAGTCCCTAATAAGCTTTCTGGTCAGCAGTGCCTGACCCTCCCACACTTGACACGGGGACAAGCACCAGGTTGTTGGGGACTGTCCCAAGACAACCGTCCGCTCTCGCCTAGTGGACCAAGCTGCGGTCCAAGACCTCAATCACCTGTCTGCAGAGTAGGGTGGGCCCTTTCCAGTCTGGGTTTGGACTGAGATGAGAGTTGGATGGGGCTCACCTTCAGTTCTAAGCCTGGGGTTGCTCAAGGTACTGGACTAGCAGGGGCCAGACAGTCCTGTAGGCCAGCCTATGCATCCAGCGGCTGGGCTGGCTGAGCTCCCAGGCTCTCCTAGCTTGGACATTCCAAACCCTGTGAGGGGTGCTGAGTAACAGACAGTTCTGGGCGGGGCCCATCATCCCTCTGCCCTGTGGGTAGGGAGGCCTGGGTGGGGGTCACTGGCAGGGTACCAGGCCTTGGGCGAGCCTGCAGAATGGTCACCAGGGCACAGAGGGCAGGCAGTGGGACAGACAGAAGGCTGGGGCTGCAGGCAAAAAAAAATGTGTGGGCAGCAAACACAATGCGACTCGCTTTGGCTCTGGGCCATCCCAGCAGGCGGGCTGCACACAGACCCGTGCCTCAGGCACACGTGGGCTGACCTGGCCAGATGTCCCCTCCCAGGCAGGGCAGGCAGAGGGCAGCTCCAGCTTCCAGCTGCGCCCTGGCAGCCGGGCTGGTCAAAGACCCAGGTCCCACTAGCTCTAAGGAGAGACAGGCTGGAGGAAGGCAGGGAAAGGTTCCTGCTGAGCCCCAACAGGCCCCTTCCCTGCTTCATCTCTGCCAGTGACCCCCACTCTGGAAGGAACCCTCTTTGTCCAGCATGCCCCACCACAGGCGTGACCCCTGAGGTGTACAGAGACTGTGACTTGGGCGAGAGAATGGACATCTCGGGTCAGATCATCTCTGTCCCAGGGCCTGCAGGTAGAAATGACCAGCAAGTAGCCTCTTCGCCTTCCATGCCAACAGTCCAGGACTCCCCGCCCCAGCTTCTACCCTGGCCTCAGCCCCATCCCACAAGTCAGGGGTCTCTCCAGGAGGATGAATGAGCCACTCAACCTCCTGGGCTGCCCTAGGGACCTTGGCCCTCCTACCTCTCCCGGTTCGTCCAAGATCGACATCCATCCTTTCTTGAAGTTGAGCAGGTCAGGCTATGGGGAGATGAGGAGACAGAGGGGTCAGCCCCAGCTGGGAGCCAACCAAGCTAGGAAGACTGGGGAGCACCCCCCAACCCACCTCCAGGACTAAGCTCCTGGGAAGCCAATAGAGATTGTTAAGCATCCTCACTGTTTCTCCCAAATGCAAGAAGGCTCCCCAGCCTCCAAGGCCACTGTTCTCAATGTTCACCATTCTCTGCAAGCCAAGTGGTTGGGCTAGGGGCTGGTACTCAGTGCCCAGACAGCCCAGCCTTCTCCCCACCATTCTTTCTCTCCCCTGCAACAGTGGGAGACAGGGGGCCAAGAGAACCTCACCTGTCCCAAGAGCCCCCCGGAGAGCCTAGAGAACAGCCCATTCCAGCGGGTAGCCCACCAGGGACACGTGGTAACAGTCGCCAGCCCCAGCCGCTGACTCTCTGTGATACAACCTGTCCCATCCCATCCCTCATCCCCTGAAGACCCTGAAATTAACAGTCGGTGCTAGGCTGCAGTAAGAGACCCTGTGGTTCTCCCCGCCCCACTCCAAGATGTCTCTGGGAAGGTCGGGGCAAGGGCACCTCTGTGCCATCCACCCTACCGTCCAGGTCCTGCGCAGGTAGGGGCCACCCCGAGCTCTGGGGGCTCCCAGCTGCAGCATGTTCCACGGGGACCCAGGAGCCACACACCCCCAGGCCAGGACTAGAAGCAGTGGCTGCTCATCTGGGCATTTCTCTGGGTGCATCTGCTGGGCGCCCGCTGCCTGGAGCTGGCCCTCTCCGCCCTCTGGGGAGAGGGTGCTTGTCTAGTGGCCAGTCCCTCTGCAGCACAGGCTGCTGCTCCTGGGGCCAGGCTGGCAGGCAGGTAGGAGGTGGCCACCTGTTGCCATGGCTCTGAGCCCACCTATCAGCATCCACATCACAGCCTCGCCAGGCAGAGGTGTCTGGTTGCGGTGGAGGCAGCTGGCGGCGGCACGGGGCGGCAGGCTCCAGGGCAGCAGCTAGAAACCAGAGCCACCTGACCTGGCCACCTCCCCCAACCCCGGGAGCCCACAGAAAGTGGACTGAGGGTGGCTGACACCAGCAGTCTGGGTATTGGGACCATCCAGGACCAGGGGCGGGACCTCAGCAAGCTGGCAGCCACACCTGCTGGGCTCATCACAGCCCTTCCCTGGCATACCTGAGGGTGGAGACACAGGCTCTGCTCTGAACCACAAAACCTTGGGGCTGTGTGTGTGTGTATGTGTCCAGTCTATTCCCTCTCAGCCTCTGTCTCCCACCCAAAAATCTGTCTACAGCCAGGAGGGAAGATAGATGACCACACCTATTTGTTTCCCATCAGCCAGGGCTGGCCCACAGCTCCAGGGTGTGGCCATGAACAGCCCTCAGGGAGAGTCTGAGGAAGCAGAATCTGCCCTCCTCCACCTCCCCGGCTACTAAAACCCCCAGGACTGTAGGGACAGTGTCCCCTCCCTTATGAGACTGGTCCAAGGCACAGACCTCGGAAGGCCAGGCAGACCCAGGCCAGAGCTGGGATTAAGACTAGGGGCTCCCGCAAACTGATCAAGGCCTTTGCAGGCTGGAATCGGAGGTCGAGGGGCTGTGACACCCCTCCAATCCCACCCCATCTCTGAGCCCTGGCTGTGGGGAAGGGTCCTGTCCCCTTCTGTTCTCTCTCTAGCTTCTCCAGAGGATGGAGAGGGCCAGCAACCCTTCAAAGGCTGACAAAGACATACCACATGGTGCAGTAAATGCAAAATGGCACTGCAACCTCAGGGTGAGGAGGCCACGCTCTGGGACCAGAGGGAACCCCGCTAACAGCCGTCTCTCTAGCCCCTCCGCCACCTGCAGGACCTCAGCTCCTTTCTCCTTCAGGAGCATCCACAGTCCTCCTCCCTGTCCTTGGCTCCAGATCAGCTCTGCCTCCTGTCTGCTCCCAGCACCAAGCCCCCTCTTAGCACTCAGCCAGGGGCCTGAGAAAAGCCTCATGTCACCAGCCTGCTGCTTTAGGTGGCTTCCAAACAGTGCAGCTTCCGCAGGTCGGCTTGAGAGCCTCCCCCCGCCCTTCCAGCCTGACCTGTCCATGGCTCAGGCACCCCAAGTTCATATCATCACAGTCCTCCTGGCCCCAACACGCCAGGACTCCAGCCCTGGCACCTGCCTGGGTCCTTAGCTTGAATTACTAGGCTGACCAGACATGCCCTACTCCCCAGCCAACTTAATTACCACCCCCGGGCTCCCTTTCCCAGCATGCACAGGGCCCCGGCTGCCGGAGGGACCTCAGTGGCCTCATGAATACCTTGAGGCCACTTGCTCAGCCTGCACACGTCAGGACACACACTGCTCATCCCAGGGCTAGGCGCAGAATTGGAACGGGGTGCTCAGGAAAGGTTTATAGTTTTGTAAGTTCTTGTGGGGGGTTGTTGTTTGCAAAAGCACCAGGCAGTGGGCTTATCAGCTGTGAACAAGGGCAGTGGCTCTCCTGCCCTCGTGGGCCTCAGCAGAGAGCCAGGCAGTAAAACAAGTGACTGGGTATATAATTTGATGCTGGGCATTACCTGGGGAATGAGGTCCCCGGGCCAGGGCTCAGGCTCAGCCCAGATTGCCAGCTTCCCAAAGGTTCTGGGCATCCACCCACCCACAGCACCTGTGTTGCTGCCTCTGTAGGGATCCCCGATGGGCGGGGACAGGAAGTAGAGGATGAGGAAGGATCCAGTGGCAGCCAGGGTGCACCTGGCCAGTCTCGGCTCTGTCCCCCAAACCCTTCGCAGTTCCCCACTGCCGGTGCCCAGGCCCACACTGCACGCCCTTCTCCCCAGGTGCCTTCCCTCTCCTCCACACTCCACAACAGCCACCGGTGCTGTCCCCACAGCTTCCAGTCCACCTGACAAAGCCCTACCATCCAGGAATACATGATGCCTCCTCCAGCCATGCCCACCCCTGACTCTTCTCCCAGCCTCATCTTTGCTCTCACACTGGACTGCCCCGGGAGCGGGGGGGTGGGGGGGGAGAGGCAGCCAGGCACACATCTCTCCCAGACAAGAAAACTGGGGCACACCTGGGGTCAAACAGGCTGGGCTGAGCCCCAACAGCATCACCTGGGACCCAGCACCCCCTCACCTTTTAACATCTCAGCCTGTCATCTGTCAGCCTTAAAGGATCCAATCTAATGAGCGCCCAGTTCAAGGCCTGGCAGGCACCCAGTGGGCAATGCAATGCCCCCACCCCTGCCCCACGCCAGGACACTGACTCAGCTCCCCTCACACACACATCCCCCTCTGCTCCCTGAAAGGGGAGGCTGCTGGCGACAGGAAGGGCCGGCAGGAGGTGGCAGGATGTGCGGAGGCTGAGGAAGTCCAGGCCAGTGGCGACAGCAGCCAGATCATCACATTCAGGGGGCCAGGGGGTTCCGCCGGCCACGCCCCCCTTCTCCCCAGCAGCCCTGCCGGCTCCTCACCAAGGCACCTGCGCATGCTCAAACACACCCCCTGCTCGGCCTTGCCCCAACCCCAGCCAGGGTAATCAGGCTGCCAAGAGCGTCCCCCAAGGTACCAGCCAGTAATCAAAAGCGGCCCCAACCCTCCCTTCCACCCTATCCTGTCCAGAGACCTGACTGTCCTGGAGCCGCCTTTACAACACGCTTCCCTTAAGCATCAGTTTACCCAGCTGGGCAATGGACTACAGTCAATTTGGCTTGTAGCAACTGAGGCACGAATCTTGACCAGGCTTGGGGGAACCGGGAGAAGGGACGGGCAAAGGCAGATTTCTGCTGCACTAGGTCCCTTCCTTCCCACCGGCCGGCCGGCCCCACCCACGTCCTACCCTAGAACCCGGTTATCCCGCCGCTTCGGGACGCCCTAGGAGGGGCTCCGGAACCTTGGGGTGGGGCAGCCCGGCTCCTGTTCACCCCGCCAGGCGGCAGGCCAGCTTGTCCTGCTGGGTCAGACAACCCAGAGGGGAAGTCCAGGCCAGGCCCACCTCCGCGGTACCCTGGCAGCGAGGGGCACCGGGTGTCCAGCTAGGGGACTGGGAAGATGGGAAAGGGACACCCGAATCTGTCCATGCGAAAGTGAGAAGGGATGGGTGGGGTCACCGGGACCCCTGGAGGTGAGGAAGGGTGTGTGAGCGAGGCTGGGCCAGGTGCGCCGGAGCTGCCCTGTGCCTTTTGGGGTCACTTCCGGAAAGTGAGGCAGGGGCTGTCCGGCGGGGAACGGTTCGGCTCCCCCTCAGGCGGTGGTCGCCCTCCTCCTCCTCGCCTGGGCTGCCCAGAGGGGCAGCCCCGGGGTGGGGGCGCACTCACCGTCATGGCGGCGCCCCGGGGCGACGGGAGCTGCAGGCCGGAAGGTGGAGTGGGCTCTCGGAGTGGGCTCTCGGACTGGGCTCCGCGGCGCGGCCGTCCCGCCGCCGCTGCCCCTCTCGGCTCCCAGCCGCCGCTCGTCTAGCCCTTGGCTTCCCCTTCCCTCATCCCCTTCCCCTACCAAATTCCCAAACAACCAAAAAAAATAACACACCAACCATTTCGTAATACCCTTACTAACCAAATTTATTCTTAACTCCCTCCACACCCTCTCTTGTTTCCCTCTTCTTCCTACAACTCCTTACATAATTCCTTTTTTCTTTTCCACCATATACCTATACTTTCTTTCTCTCATGTCTTCCTTTCTCTCCTTTACGTTATTCTCTTTCTTTCTTCATCGTTTCTTTCTTGTTCACTTGCCTCTCTTTTTATTCCTTAACTTCCCATCTCCCATTTTCCACCTTGCCTTCTGTTTATCTTCCTCCTTACTTATCCTCTCTATTTAACCCATCTCCCTCTCCGCGCTTTTATGGCTCCCCCTTATAATTTGGCTTTTTCCACTCCTCATACCCACTACACCCCTCCCTAAAATTATTATTTCTTTCCACATGAAAAAACACCTTCCCCATATCATTTTCACTTCAAACCCCTCTTTCCCACACAGAAAACCTCTCTTTTTCTCAATCCCACTCACCTATCCCATATCCTACATACATTCACCCTCCCATCCCACAATTACCGACACCCAATCCATCATTATTTACCACACTAGATTTCTACCCCCCCATCTTCACCATTTAAACCACTTCCATATGTCTCCCACAACTACATCATTAACCCTTTCCCCAATTTTACCACAAGCTCAATAATTCATATACCACATATCCAATTTTTATCCCCCATTCATACATACCTTCCCTTAACCCACTCAAAACATATCCAATTATCACCCCCACCTTCCCAATTTTGAAATTTATCTTAACTCTATTATCTTCCATCCATATTTTCAGCGGTCATTCAGGTAACCGCTCCCAGACTGCATGCAGGTGCCTGACTCAGGTGCCATTGAGACATTGTACTATTTCAGTTATTCTGTCTGCTTAGGGTTCACAGGGGCTCTAATGAGCACGATCCCCACTTTACAGGTAGACAAATGGCATCCCCCACTGGCCTTGTCTCCCCCAGGAAGAGTGTAAGGTTAACTCCAGGACCAAGGCCTCTGGCACTTGGTGCCATGTTTCCCATCTGCCCACCGGATCTTAAGCATTCAGTCCTTGGGAGGGTAAATGAAGGGACACCATCGAGGCACCTGCCCAGCAGCCTGGGTCCCTCGCAGCCTCCTGGCCTTTGGGCTTCCCTCTTGTCCCCTAGCTGGGAGGGGGTGGATCAGAAGTACTGCCTGCCCCCAGTTCACCAGCGCCAGCATTTACTCTGCCGCCCTACCCCAGGCAGTTGGCCTCTATCCTGACAAGGCTCCTGCCCACTGTCCCTTATCACACACCAAGTGTACACACTCCAGCTCTCCTGGGACTTCCCAGGATAAGCCAGGTCCCTTGCACTTCCTGCCTGCCAGGTCTAGGGCACTTCTCTTCCTGTTCTCTGTACCCCAAAACTTTCTGTCTCTCTCCATTTCTTTCTCCAAATGGCTGTTTGCCTTCAGGTCTGAGTTCAAGGGACGTCAGAGTACCTAGAGGCTCCTTCCTGCACCTGACTTCTTACAGTGCTCCCTACATTTGTCTATTTCCCCCCCCATCCCCAGGGAGACATCCATGCCATGTTGTAACTGGCTCCATCTTAGTGTCGCCACCTAACTGTGCTCCTCGGGAGCAGGGATGGAGTGGATGTCTGCACATCCAGGACAGATGTGGCACAGCTGCAGGGACTCAGAAGTGAGCTGTTCAACTGGCAGAGACCAGGACCACCTCACACTGGGCCAGCCCAGTCCCAGAGCAATCCTCTGTTGAGAAGGCTCAGCAAAAAAAGATGAGGACCCAAGGCACACAGGGTGGGGGCAGAAAGAGAAGTGGGAGAGTCCAGGCTCTCTGGCTCATGGCCCTGGACTAATTTAAATCAGCCCAAGAGGTGTTTGAAGAAATCCTAAGAGACATCTGGAAGACCCCACTGGCAAATGCGCCCCAACTCCTGCTTTTTCTTATTCCCACCTGAGAGAAGCAGGTGCAGTCAGACTCACCACCAGGCCTCACTTGCTACATCTGTGTAATGGGGGCAATCATCAAAGACTAAGGGCTCCCCATGAAAAGAAGTGCAGGTTCCATGGTCTGCCATGGAGTGCAAGTGCCAGGGTCGAGCCTCCTAAGAGGCTCAGAGCAGTGGAGAGCATAACCAGGTGCGCATGGAGGATATGGCAGTCTATCAGAACCTGCAGGGGATACCTGGCACCACAGAACAAATCAATCAGCTACCCCAGCCATTTGTTGGCAGTGAAACACTGGGCAAATGGAGACTCTAAGGTGGACTAAGTCAATCAGTGGCTTCTGCAGTGACCTCGTTGTACTTGGAATGGCGAGATTGGCAGCAATTCAGAACTGTTGAACTATCAAAACCACTTGGGCAAGACCCTCAGAGCATGCCTCATGTTGGGGACCTGGGATGGGTTGGGAGACTGGGTGGGGCTTCTCCCTTTATCTCCCCCTTTAACCCAGATACAGGAAAAAATGTGGAAATAATAGTCTTACCCACTTTTCTATAGCCCTTGAACCTTTGTGCCCTAAATGACTATGTGAAGATTGTCAAAAATGAAGAAAAAAAAAAAAAAGACTTGGGTCCAGTGGCGTGGCCTCGCCTTGAACGCGCCGGGATCCCATATAGGCGCTGGTTCTAGTCCTAGCAGGTCCACTTCCCATCCAGCTCCCTGCCTGTGGCCTGGGAAAGCAGTCGAGGACGGCCCAAGGCCTTGGGACCCTGCACCCACATGGGAGACCCAGAAGAGGTTCCTGGTTCCCAGCTTCAGATCGGCACAGCACTGGCCATTGCAGTCACTTGGGGAGTGAATCATCGGACGGAAGATCTTCCTCTCTGTCTCTCTTGTCTCTGTATATCTGACTTTGTAATAAAAATAAATCAATCTTTAAACATAAATAAATAAAAGAAAAACAATTTTTAAAGGAAGGAAAAAAAAAGACTAAGGGCTCCAAGGAGGCCCTCTGGTGACGCATATGGGGATGGCTAGGTGGATCTGTCAACACTTAGCTCTGAGTTCAGCCAGCACCCAGTGAGACTCTTAGTTCTGTCCTTTGTCCCTTATGTGACTTGAGAAAGAGGAATTTCTTCTCCAAGCTTCTTCTGCACAGCCTGGATCTAAAGGTGGCAAGGATCTGTGTGATCAAGCGTGCCATGTACTGCACCATGACACCAGGCATACAGTGGGCACACAATAGGCTGGCACTGTGGGGCAGAGACACCAGCATCCCATGTCGGAGTACCAGCTGTAGTCCTGGCTGCTCCATTTCCTATCCAGGACCCTGCTAGCTCACCTGGGAAGCAGTGAAGGAGGCTGGTTTAACCACCTGGTTCTCTGTCATCCATATGGGAGACCAGGGTGGAATTCCTGGCTCCTGGTTTTAGCCTGGTCAAGACCTGCCGTTGTGGCCGTTTGGGGAGGGAACCAGCAGTTGAAGTTCTCTCTCCAAGTCTCCTTCTCTCTGTCACTCTAATTTTCAAATAAGTAAATCTATTTTTAAAAAAATAATAATTGGGGCCCGGCGCAGTGGCGCAAGTGGTTAAGGTCCTCACCTAGCACGCCTGGGATCCCATATGGGCGCCGGTTCTAATCCCGGCAGCCCCGCTTCCCTTCCAGCTCCCTGCCTGTGGCCTGGGAAAGCAGTCGAGGACGGCCCAAAGCTTTGGGACCCTGCACCCACGTGGGAGACCCGGAAGAGGCTCCTGGCTTCGGATTGGCATAGTATCGGCCGTTGCGCTCACTTGGGGAGTGAATCATCGGACGGAAGATCTTCCTCTCTGTCTCTTCTCCTCTCTGTATATCTGCCTTTCCAATAAAAACATAATAAAAATAAATCTTTAAAAAAAATAATAATAATTGCTAGTTGGGGCTGGTACTGTGGCAGAGTGGGTTAAGTCAAGGCCTGTAGCCTGCATCCCATATGGACACTGGTTTGAGTCCTAGCTGTTCTACTTCTAGTCCAGTATCCTGCTGATGTGCTGGGGAAGCAGAAGATCGCTCAAGTGCTTGGAACCCTGTTCCCACGTGGGAGAGCAGGAAGAAGTTCCAAGCTCCTGGCTTCTCCCTGACAGAGTCCCAACTGTTGCAGTCATTTGGGGAGTAAACCCTCAGATGGAAGATCTCTCCCTCATGTGTGTGTGTCCTGTCTCTCTATAACTCTGCCTTTCAAATAAATAAATTAGTTTAAAAAAATAGTTGCTTGTTTTCATCATCATCCTAGCTTTCTTTCCTCCACTTCTCTCCTTGTTCTCCCTACCAAGAATTTCCTTGCCTTGTAGTTAGCCTGACCAGGTAACTATGCCCATAGCTAGAAGGTTCCACCCTGCCCGTCAGACAGCCATGCCTGCCTGAGTAAGTGCCTAGTCCCCAAGTACGGCCCCCGGAAGCCAGGAATGGGTGGGAAAGTTCATGTTTGAAAGCCCTCCCCCGCCAACCCCACCAGCCCTGTGTATCCCAAATCCCTGAGCACCAATGATGTGGATTTGGACTGCAGTCCTGCCCCCATCTGGGGATAAGAGTGAGCAATTTCTTACTACCCCAGCAGTGCCAACCCAGGCAAGTTGGCTCCCCACCCTAGGCCTCACTTTCCTCCTTGGGGCAATGGATGTGTTATCCCAAAGTGTCTGGCTAAGTACCAGCAGCAGAGCCCAAAGTGGTCCAAGAGCGAGCCTGCAGCCCCTGCGGGAGAGCTAGGCCCCTCCTCTCGCAGGGCAAAGCGGGCCAAGGGGGCAAGTCACAGCTGCTTCCCCACCCTGCCCTTGAGACACCCCAGACATAGGCTGTGTTGACAGCTCTCTCCGGGCAGGGGGTGGCTTACGTAACGCCAGATGTTTGTGAACCTGGCTCAGCCCCAGATCTGAGCCATGCTCCGCAATCCCAGAGTCCCTTGCAGGCCTCCCTCCCTCTGCCCATTCCCGCCCCTCCTCCCTCAGCCCCAACCTGGCTCCCTATAGCCCAGGGCTGGGGAGAAGCTGCTGACTGGACACTTGGCTTCAGTTCAGATAGATCATTCAGCCACCCACCCCTGCCCTGCACCCCAAGGTGATGCAAGTGCATGAGCTCCGCCTCCTTCCCTGCCCCCCACATCCCTTTCTCCCCTCTACTCCCCGTCAGCCTACCCTTTGCCACCTGAGGACCCCCAGAGACAGCAGGAACGGATTGAACAGCGTGGGCCGGTCCCCCGGCATCCGCCATGAGGTCACCAGTCGGCCCTTGAGTGAGCTCCCAGCCTTGCCCTCTGCCGGCCTCTGGTCTGCCTGTCAAACAGGGTCCTGTGTTGGCCCCAAGGTACCTTGGGCCAAGTGCATCCCTGCCCACCGCAAAGGCCCAGGGTTTCCATCTTCCTCCCCTCCTGCAGTTGCCAAGAAAAGACCTCACTGGGGTCAGCACTGGCTCACAGAAGGCTAAGCAGTCACCTGAATCCTGGCTGCTTCACTTCCTATCCAGCTCCCTCCTTATGTGTCTGGGGAAACACTGGAGGATGGCTCAATTGCTTGAACCCCTTGCACCCACTTGGGAGATCCAGAAGAAGCCCCTGACTTCAGACTGGCCCAGCCCTGGGCACTGCAGTCATTTGCAAAGCGAATCAATAGATGGAAGATCTCTTTCTGTGTCTGTCACTCTGTCTTTCAAGCAAATACATTATTATTTTTTTAAATATCTTACTAAGTCGGTCCCACTACTTTGTGTTTGATGGGACTGCTAGGCTCAATGCCCTGCGGGCATGAACCTTGCTCCCTGAAGTCAAGCCACAAGTTGGTAGAGTGGCAGGAAGGCAGCCTGCAATGGGGTGTACGGGCTGGGAGGCAGAGGGGGATCTTCAGCCACAGTGCTTGCAGATTGCTTTGCATTGGCTTCCAAGGTTAAACAAGCCTGAATTCAACATCTTAACACACACCCCATTTCTCCTGAGCTATCTAACGATGCAGATCCTTTAGGGCCCTCTGGAGCTCCAGGGTGACACAAGTGCCCCCTTCCCTCCCATCCTGCCCCAAGCCTGCTCTTGTCACCTTTGTTACCTGCCTGGCCTTCAGGGCCTTGGGTTAGTGACCCCAGCTTAAAGGAAAGGAATCAATCACAGACTTTTACAGACACCCCCCCAACCCCAGCAGGGTCCCCAGAAACTTCCTTTGGCCTTATCCTTACCAGGTAAACTGAGGGCTTGCCCACAGCCACCCATGTGGCAAAGTCCCAAATCCCAGTACAGGTTCACAAGGGCATTGGTGGTGGGGCACCATGGCATGTGGCACTGTGTCCCTACCCCAGGCTCCACATTCATCCCCCACCCCCATCCAGGCACCAGGAGTGAGTAAGTGAGGGAGGGAGGGAGGCAGTTAGCAACTGGGTCCAGCCAAGGCAATCTAAGAGTGGATGGGGAGGTATTCTGTGTTGTTGGAGACTAGACAGGCCCCATGTGGCCATTTCCTCTTTGTTCATAAGCCTCGGGCACCAGGAAGTATGAAGCAATCACCCCAAAAGAAGAACGAGCTTGTCAGGGCCTCCACAGAGCCCTGGGAGCCTCTTGGTGACCAGAGGACCATCTTACCCCCAACCCCAATGTCACAGGTGGGAAGACTGGCTCAGCCAACAGTTTGTGGGTGCTGCCTGGGTGAAGTCCAGCAACAGAGCAGGGCGGAGCGGAGAAGCCACGTGGGCAGCAGTGGTCATGCAAAGGGAACACTGGGGCTCAGTGCCAAGAGCCCTGGGTTCTAAGTGTGAACTAGACTGCCACCAATTGACGGATTGCCAACTGCACAGGGAGGGGCTGGATGAAACACCCCACCTCCCCCCAGCTCTGCTTACCAGCAGGGTCTGACTTGGCAGGGGTTTTAGCATCACCACCCAGATAGCCCACACATACACTGTGGCTTCTCTGGACAGCAGGACACGGAAACAGTGCTTCGTGTCTACCTCCCTGTGCCGTCCCGCTGTGCTGGGCTCTGACCTCACACACCCCCCACCCAGCAAAGGCGTGGACTGATGGGAAGAGTCTGTTTGGCAGGTGGTGGGGAGGGCGGGGCTGAGTTGCACGCTCCAGCTCCGGCACTCATCTCTTCCACTTCCAGGCCCCTGGAGACCCTCCAAGCTCGGGCCTGCTCCACCTTCAGCTCCCAGAAGCCTTCCACTTTCTCTCAGCCCGGCCCGGCCCTTGAGAACTGGAAGAACCTGGCTTGCAGAGACCACGGTCTAACTGCTGCTTGCCTGGGGGAAAGGCAATGAGTACACAGGGAGCTGGAAGCAAAGTGCCAGGCTCCTGACCCCCAGGCCACAGACAAGGTTGCCCTATGGCCCAGCTCCCCTACAGCCAGCCCCTCTTCTCAGGACCCCGTCTTGCATATGATGACCCCATGGCAGTCAACCATGTGAGAGCTCAGCCTAGCCTTCCTCTGGCCTAATTTTCCCCTCTTGTGTCTGAACTATGTGCCCATGCCCAGGACCCAACTACCGAGTCAGCTTGCTTCTGGTCAGTCGGCACGTCTTGGTCTCTGCTTGGAGCCTCTGCCTCTTTAGGTTCTTCTGGCTGGAACTGGAGATGAAAAAGAACCCAGCTTAGTTCAGGTTCCACCCATATGGGGTCCATCCCTCCACTCACCTCCTTCCTCATCCACCCACCTATATCACCCACCAATCCAACATGTTTCCAGCACCCAGCATCAAGAGATCCGCATGCCTAGCCAACAACCATTCTACGTTACTCACCCTCTTATATGTCCAACATCCATCCTTGTTGACTCATTCATAGCTCCAACCTGTCATTCATCATGTACCAAGCCATCAAACCTCCACTCATCCAGCCACACATCCTTCCAACACTCATTCATTGTCCAACATTTCTCCATCCATGCACTATCCATCTGTCCACTCATTACCATACTCACCCTTCATCTAAGCAACACCCATCAACCTTCCATCATCCATCCATCATTCGCCTGTTCATCATCCATCCAACATCTATTATCTATCCATCCCCCATCTCTCATCTCCCCATTGCCCTCCCCCTACCTTCTCTCTACTTCCCACACATACTTGGAAATCCATGTATTCCCTGAACCCACTTAAACTGAGCTACCTCAGCAGGTGTTTGGCAAGTGAAGAAGGAAAGGAAGAGCATCCTACCCAGTAGGAATGGCATGTACCCAGACAGGGAGCATGTAGAGGAGCAGCCAGCATTCCCACAGGACCTAGGCCATGCCTCTGCTCTGTTATTTGCTATGAAATGTCCTTAAGCACCCACTGCTGCTGCCTCTGCCCCAGTCTGTCACCACCTCCCAGCCTTCCAGAGACCCCTGGGAAGGATGGCCCACTGACAAACTGCACTGTGGTAGTTAAGAAGCCTGGACACAGCAGGCTTGTTTCTCACAACTTCAGCCTAGTGAGTTGGAGCCTGAATTATCCTCATCCATAAAGGGGGGACAGTGGACACTACAGCACGTAAGAGCTGGCACCTGGTGAGCATTGATTTCTGCAAGCCTGTGTCACCCCCGGAGGAGGCGGCATTGGGCCACTTCTGTGCATCAGCGGGCTGAGAAGGATTTGGATGTGCAAACAGAGGGAAGCAGCTGGTCCCATTTAAAAGAGGGAAGCCGAGACCCAGCAAGACTGAGTGTGCAGAAGCACACACTATGTTCCTTGGTGAGCCAGGGGGCTCTCCCCTCTGCCACTCCATCCTCAGTTAGCACCACAGTACTGCCTGTTGGGCAGGCCCCTGAAGGCCAGCTCAAGCCAGGGGCACTGTTGTCCCATGTTGGAGTGGAAGGGGTCAGTGAGGCTGCCCTGGACTCCGCGAAGGGAGGGGATACAACAAGATGTGAGCCACCACATCCAAATCAAGCCAGGTGTTGCGGGACCCACAGGGGGATGGGCCTGGCCCAAATGTCTGGCGTGAGGCCCAGTGACCTGTGCTGAGCAGCCCAGGGCTCCGGCCTCCCAGGTTGCAGGTGGCTTAACTCGCTCTCTCTCTTCAATGTAGGGAAGGAATGCCTTTCTCCTTGGGTTACCATGGAGACCGAGTGGGGAAAGTACACATAAAACATTCAGATCTAGGGCTGGGCTGGGCCACCCACAGGACACATGCTCAGAGAGGTGCAAGCCAGGGCCAGCACTGTCTACCTTGGTGCAGGCTTGGTTAGCAGGGAGGGTCCGGTCCAAGTCTCAGACTGGGTTGGGTATAGGAGATGAGACAGGCTATGCCAATTCTGCGGGGCAGGGAACCACTCACCTCTGCTGTGGCCGAGCTGGGCAGGTCTGTGTCACTGCTACTCCCCAGTTGGCCCATCTCTTCCAGTTCAGCCACTGCTGAGGTCTCTGGTTCGCTTGTTGCTTGAGTCTTTGGCCACTGGGTGGAGGTGCAGGCAGGGCTGGGTGGCTGAGTCGGGCTCCTGACCCACTGCCCAGGGCTGTGTCCGTTGATGAGAGTGGTTTTGGCCCACCCTTCAGGCTGCCTGTGTGATTCCAGTTCTGGGGCATCGTTTGTGTCAGGAGGACCGAGCTCTGGGCCAGAGGCCTTAGCTGGGTCATCCCAATAGCCAGCTGGGCCCTTGTGGGGCAACCGAGCCTGTAGGAGCTCCAGGAGGCCTTCCCAATTGAGCCGCGGGAGCCGGGCCCAGGCCCCCTCTCCAGGCTCCTGGAGAAGGCCCAGCAGATCTCTCCAGTCAAGTTCAGGGTGCGGCTCAGGGCTGTGTGGCTGTGGGCAAACTCCCTCACCCCCCCAGCCCGTGGCAGAGGGTGTCCTGGACCCTTGGGGTGGTGTGACTTCCTCTGGGCCTACCCAGGGTGTCTCCGCGGAACTCAGAGACTGGCGGGGGCCAGGCAGCTCCTGTAGACTGTCCCAGCTCCTGGGGGCCGGTAACTCCTCCCAGGCCTCCAATTGCCCCCAACTTGTGCTAGGTGGGCCTCCCCACATTCCTTCTGGGGCTCTGGAGGCTCCGGGACCCAGACCTTCCTCCCCAGTGCTCCAGCTCCTTTCCAGATGTCGGTGAGGGCCCTGGGCCCGTGGCAGCTCCCCGTGACCCTGCCACGCTGCTGCAGGCTGTTGAGGACCAGCTTGGCTACTCTCTAATGGCTTCTCCCTCTCACAGCGGCCGACTGTCGTCCTGGGAGCTGGTGTGGTCCCCTGAAGACGTTGCTCTCCCTCAAGCCACCTCTCAGGACTCCTGGAACTGGAGAGTTGTGCTCGGCTCCGCCTAGCCGGGTCCGCTTGCTTGGCAGGTGGCTTGGTCACCTGAGGACAAGATGAAAGACGGGTAAGGTCTCAGGGTCCCTAGCTTAGGGGGTCATTATCTTGTCTTAAGGGATGGGAAGGGTGCAGCCATGCCCTTAGCAGCCTGGGTCTGTGCAGGTGGATGAATGCAGGGCAGGAAGAGGTCTCCTGGTCTTCTGTCCCGGGTCACCTCTTTCCCCGTCACCCGTATCGCTCAGTTCTAGAAAGAGATCTGCAAGGAGCTGCTCACTTTCTGGGCTCCTCCACCCCCACAGGGAGATATTGATTCCCGCCTGGGCTATCAGGTGCCCGAGTTTCCAGTGCCAGCATCTGCTTCCTCCAGGGCAGGCTTTGTGCTCTTTAGATATAAATCCCCACCCTGAGAGATGTGAGCACCCCTACATTTTGCCAAAAGCTGCCAGCCCTGGGGGAGAGGGGAGAGCTGGACAGCCATGCCCAGGGTGGGTGAAACATGGCCATCCTGGAGGGGAGCAGGGCCAGTGGGCAGTGGGGGAGGTTGAGGCATGGCTGGCCGTGCTCACCTGCCTGCTGAGGGTTGGGCTGGACTGTCTTCGGAGTAGCTGGCTCTGAGCTTGGCTGGGCTGCTGGGACCATCCCTCTTCTCGAGCCTGGAAGGCCCCCGGCGCCTCAGACTTCCTAGGAGCAAAGGCATGCCCTCCTCTGAGGACCTTGGGGACCCTCCCCCTCCCCCAGCACACCAGACCCTCCCCTCTCACCCCTGATAGGAGGGCCTCAGTTTTCCCCTTCTGTGAAACAAAGATGCCGAGTGCTACCCTCTGCTATCTCCTGTGGCTGGTGTGAAGAAGCTGGGTGGGGAAAGGGCGGGTGAGCAAGTGAGAGTGCAGGGGCACAGACCTTGGCCGTGGTAATCCCGTCTTAGTGCTTCCTGTCACTAGCCACCACCCACCAGCAGCCCAGAAGAAGATCAGACTGATCCTTGTGGGAAGTGAGATTTATTGAGCGCCTACTGTGTACCAGGTCTTTACGCATACGATCAGAAGCAAGGGCAAGGATGGATTGAGCTTCTCCCAAGTTGCAGGTGCCAAGCACTTGCATGCACGGTCCCATTTCATCCCTATAAACCATGCCGTGGAGAACAAGTACTGTGGAAAGCAGCAGACTCCCACATGCCATTCTTTCTGTCTGTCCCTTCTCATATGACACATATGTTATTCTCAGGCCCCACTTTGTTCCGCTCCCCCAGTGCCAACTAGAATTCCAGCTCTGAGCTGGGAATACCTGAAGCCATCCTGGTGGTTGGCATAAGTGCTCTTAGTGAGAGCAGAAGGAAGAAGGTTACCCTTGCCAGCAACTCCAAAGGGTTACTGCCAACTGTCCCGGCAGAGGTCATGTCTACACTATCCAGACTTCCACAAATAGCCTCTAACCTGAGCAGCAAATCCCCAGCTTGCTTAATAATTGGTAGCCATGACTATTAATGTTTAACGTGCTATCTCTGTGAGACAGGGAGGCCAAACGGAACATGGACACACCCCTTCCTGGCCAGTGTGAAGGGCTATGGCAGAGAACCAAACAGAGCCCAGCTTGATCCAAATCAACAACTGAAGCTCAGCTCTGGCAGCCGATCCCAAATAGGTGGAGGAACCCAAAAGAGCTGGTGCTCCTTAGCCCAAGAACAGGGCAACAGGAGGCTCTGCCCAGGGCCAGGCTGCCCTGCTCCTGGCAGTGGGCCACAGAGAGGATGACAGATATGAGCCTGGGTGGTCGGTGTGGTCCTGTGGCTGTGGCCAATAGCTGGAGATCCGGATGCATGATGTCATGGGATTCCTGACAGCTGCCTCTGGGTTGGGGAGCAGGGAGCCCCAGTTCCCCAGAAATGCTCCTCACTTGCCGGATCCAACTTCTAAATCTGATTTTGGGGACAGCATAGCCTCCCTCTCTTATAAGAAGTTCTCAAACCATCTCCATCTGGTTTAATGATCTTGTTTTCCTTCCCTTTCTGCCCCCTGCCCAGCAAGGAGGAGACACAGGCATGAGGGCCCCGAGAAGATGCCGAGACCCCAACAGAGACACTTTTCGGATGCTGGAGCAACAGCATCACAGCATCCCCTTGGACCCCCGTCCCTGAGGGCTGGCATAACCACATCAAAAATGACCAAGCAAACACGTGACCTGCAGAAGCTAAGATGGACTTTGGCCTCAAGCGAGGGTTGGAAGATCAAAGCTGTCAGTGAAGAAAATAGAAAAGTGAATGCAAGAGGCCACAGAATGTTTAGAGATTACCAAGGCATCAGTACAAAAAACAAGCTCTCAGGCCAGAGGCCAGGCCGTTTTGAGAAGTGGAAGCTGACCCTTTAAGAAGACTGCCCCATGCTTGGGACTGGCATGGAGGCATAGCAGGCTAACCCTCCACTGCAATAGCAGCATCCAATTGGACAGGGTTGGAGTCCCAGGTCATAAGCATCCTGGAACATCCTGCAAGATGACGGGGCAGATACAACGACACTGACTCCTTGCAGAAACATTAAATTCCCCTCCAGCTCCCTGCATGTGGCCTGGGAAAGCAGCAAAGGAGGGCCCAAAGCCTTGGGATCCTGCATCCACATGGCAGACCCAGAAAGAAGCTGCTGGCTTTGGGTCAGCTCAGCTCTGGCTGTTGTGGCCATTTGGGGAGTGAACCAGTGGATGCAAGATCTCAATCTCTCTAAATCTGCCATTCAAATAAATAAATAAATAAATCTTAAAAAGTTTTCATCTACTTGGGAAAAAGGTAATAGGGGAAAAAAATAACTATTCAGTAAAAAAAAAAATAATCTAATTGGAAGGTAATAATCTACCTCAAAGAAAGCAGAATAAGGGTCTAGCGGCTAAAGTCCTCGCCTTTCATGTGCCAGGATCCCATATGGACACTGGTTCTGGTCCCAGTGGCCCCACTTCCCATCCAGCTCTCTGCTTGTGGCCTGAGAAAACAGTCGAGGATGGCCCAAAGCCTTGGGACCCTACACCCATGTGGGAGACCCAGAAGAAGCTCCTGGCTCTGGATCGGCTCAGCTCCAGCCATTGTGGCCACTTGGGGAGTGAATCATCAGATGGAAGATTTTCCTCTCTGTCTTTCCTTCTCTTTGTATATCTGTATTCCTAATTTTTAAAATCTTTAAAAAAAAAGGTAGAATAAGATCTATGGAAGTAATTTTATAAAAATAAGTCCTTAGTTAAAGCATACACATATTCCTAATTTCTAGTATAGACTATTTATCTCTCTAAAAGTCCTGGGCGAGTGTGGAAAAAAAACCAAAACTTTGACTTAAAGATCTTAGCATCAGAGCTGGTGGTGTTGTAAGCAGGTAGAGCCGCTGCCTATGATATCAGCATCCCATATAGACACGGGTTCGAGTCCTGCTTGTTTCACTTCACATCCAGCTCTCTGTTAACACACCTGGGACAGCAGTGGGAGGTGACCCAAGTGCTTGGGCCCTGCACCCATATGGGAAACCCAGAAGAAGCTCCAGGCTCTTGGCCTCAGCCTGCCCCCCTGCGGTCCTTGTGGCCATTTGGGGAGTGAGGCCAGCAGATGAAAATCTCTCTCTTTCTCTCTGTAACTCTTCCTTCCAAAATAATTTGATGAGTGCCAGGGACTCCTTGGATGGAAAGGGGACGGTGCTTCCTGGAAAAGGACAGCTGAGAGACAGAGCCTCTCATAGCAATTCAGCGCTAGGACAGACAGGGGACCTAGCGGGAGGAGGTCAAGAGGGTCTTAAACCCTGGAACATCACACAATGACAGCTGACTCCTTGCAGAAACACTAAGTCCCAAACCACACCCCGAGGCCCAGCGAGCCACCAGCCCTGGCTCTGTTCTTTTCACCTCTCTGCTGTTTGAAAACCCCTGGGCTGGAGGCACTCGGGGGAATGAATCCCAACTCGGTCAAGCAGACATGCTTCCTCTCCCAGCCCAGGCCTGGAGCTTCTGACCAAGGAGGCCTGCAGATGGGGGTAGTGGCATCTTGCCCCAGGAAAGTGAACTTAACTTCTATAAACACTGTGGGGCTGCGAGTTCCTTTCTTTTAAGAATATAGCTCCAGCTATTTATGTTTTTTAAAGATTTATTTTTTTTTAATTTGAAAGAGATTTTATAGAAAAAGGAGAGACAGAGAGAGAAGTCTTCCATCCACTGATTCACTCTCCAAATGGCCACAATGACCAGAGCTGAGATCAAACCAGAAGCCTCAGGAGCCTCGCCCACAGAGACCCCCATGTGGGTGCAGTGGTCCAAGCACTTGGGCCATCCTCTGCTGCTTTGCCAGGTCATAAGCAGAGAGCTAGATTGGAAGCAGAGCAGCTGGGACTTGAACTGGTGCCCATATGGGTTGCTGGCACTGACCCAATGCTATTTTTCTTAAAGTGATACCTCTGGGGTGAGCACTTGGCGCAGTAGCTGAGACACCATTTGGGACACCCACACCCTCTCCAGTACCCTGGCTCAGGTCCTGGTTGCATGCTCAGCTCCAGCCTCCTGTTACATCACAGCCCGTGTGGACACCCAGACCCAGTCACTTGCCTCCTGGCCAAGTCCCAGCTGCTGTCAGCATGTGGGGGACTGAACCAGGTCTGTCTGTGTTTCCAGTAAATAAAATAAATCTAAATAAATACATTAATGTCTTGCACCAGGGCAGGGTGGGAGTGATCTGTGTGTTTTCTTCCTTAAGGCAAAAGAGAATTACCGGCATTTGCCTAAACCTCCCTCCTTAGAGGAGGGAAAAAAAGCAAAAGAATATGAAACCAACTTGTGTCTCTAAATTCACACAAGGGTTTGTGAGTTTCACCTCATTTACATAAATGTGCTTTCTCCCCCATTTTACAGACAAGGAAACTGAGGCTTCAAGGAGGTTGTAATCACTGTAGCCGTGGTGGGTTTGGCCAAGATTTTGTGCCCAATGTGCCTGGTTCCTCCTATCCGCTTTAAGATACCGCATAATCTGCAGCAACACAGCAGTCTAGGCCACACAGCCCCTAAGCGGCAGGCTGCGGGGGGAGGATGAGCTGCTGAACCCCTTCTTCCTCTGGTAGCTTCACCCTGACAGCCTTCCACCTGTCCTGTCTCCGCCCCAGCCCACCTGGCTGCCCCTGCCAATGCCGCCCTGGGCTCACCTGCGCTCTCTCCCGAAGAGGCGCTCCACCTCTGCGCGGCCAGGGCTGCGAGTGCGGCCCCCGTTGCTGCCCTGCGCCTGCGGCCCTGGCTCCCTCCGGGCCAGCCTCCTGGGCGGGGGCAGGTCGGCCAGCACGCTGTACTCCTCCCTCTCCAAGCTGTGCCTGGTCTCCCCAGAGGGCCCCGAGCCTCGGGAGCTACCCGGCGTAGGGGACAACGCCAGCGGCAACGCGTCGCTGGGTGGATGGCGGGGCGGGGAGGAAGCTCGGGGGGCGTCGCGATAGCCAATGCACACTTGCGGGGGCAGCAGAGGGCAGCCATGCAGGGAGTCAGTGGAGGGGGCCAGACTCTCGGTGCTCGTCCCCGGGGGATCCTGGAAGAAGAGGGTGGGCTCCGGAGCCTGGCGTGGTGGGGAGGAGAAAGAGGGAGCATCGCGGTGCCCGATGCACACAGGGACGGGAACGTGGAGGGGTTCGTGCAGAGAGTCCGTGGAGGGGGCGAGGCTCTCAGTGCTGGCCCTGGGGAAGTCCTGGAACAAGAGGGAGGGCTCCGGGGCCTGGCGTGGCGGGGAGGAGGCCCGCGGCGCATCACGGTACCCAATACACACAGGTGGGGGGAGCTGTGGAGGGTCGTGCTGCTGCGGGGGCTGAACCTCCGAATCTGACGTGTCTGGTAGGAAGGGGAAAGGGTCAAACTGGGTGTGGCGAGGGGGCGAGGAGGCCCGGGGGGCATCCCGGTGCCCAATGCACACGGCAGGCGGAATGTAGGGGGGCTCATGGTGGGGCAGCTCGCTCTCAGTCGCTCGGGGTTCTGGAAAGAAGGGGAAGGGGTCATGCTGCAAATAACGAGGCGGCGAGGAGGCTCGAGGGGCATCCCGGTGCCCGATGCACACAGCACAGGGGGCCTGGGAGGACTCAGCAGACACCTGGGGAGTTCCCCAAGGGACAGGGTGTGCAGCAGGGACCCCCCGGGAGGTGGCTTGCTGGCCAGGGTTATGGGAGGAGGAGGTGCCCCGGGCGGGTGAGTGGTGTTGGGCCGAGCCAGAGCAGGACTGGGGTGCATCCCGCTGGGCTGCTCTGGGAGGGGAGGACGACTGACACCTGTCACCTTGAGTTGGCCGAAGAGCAACGGATGCCCAGGGCACCTCGCTTGGCTTGGAGCGAGCCGGGGAAGTGGTCCGGGGGCCATCACTCCGAGTCGGCCGGAGGGGGAAGGAGGCCCAGGGAATGTCCTTGTTGGTACGGTGTGGCGAGCATGGCCGGGGGTGGCTCTGCGGGCTGGAGCGGTGGGGAGATGGTGGTGCGGGACGGTCCTTTGGGGTACAGCACTGGGTGGAGGCCATTCCAGGATTGTCCCGACGGGAGGAGGAAGTGTGTGGGTTGTTCCTTTGAGTACAAGCAGTCCTGAGATTATCCCATCTACTGCACTGGGCTTTGGGGCTGTCCTGGGGGGCGCAGGAAGCCCTGGGGGTGTCCCGCTGAGCAGTCGGGTTGGGAGAGGAAGCCCTAGGGGTGTCACGTCTGGTGGTCCGGCTGGGAGAGGAGACCCTGAGTGTGTCCCGTTGGGCACAAGGAGTTTTAGGGGTGTCCCGCTGGGCATAGGAGGCCCTGGATGTGTCCCATTGAGTAGCCCGGTTGGGAGATGAGGCTCTAGGGTTAGTCCGTTGAGTGTTCCGGTTGGGAGAGGAAGTTCCAAGGGTGTCCTGTTGGATGCAGGCAGTTTTCAGGGTATCCTGTTGAGTGCTCCGATTGGGAGAAGAAGATCTAGGGGTGTTCCGTTGGGCACAGACAGTTTTGGGGGTGTTCCATTGAGTGCTCCGGTTGGGGGAGGAGGCCCTGGATGTGTCCCGTTGGGCACAGGCAGTTTTGGGGGTGTCCCGTTGAGTGCTCCGGTTGGGGGAGGAGGCCTTGGGTGTGTCCCGTTGGGCACAGGTAGTTTTGGGGGTGTCCCGTTGAGTGGTCCGATTGGGAGAGGAGGCCCTAAGGGTGTCCCGTTGGGCACAGGCAGTTTTGGGAGTTTCCCGTTGAGCGGTCCGGTTGGGAGAGGAGGCCCTAAGGGTGTCCCGTTGGGCACAGGCAGTTTTGGGGGTGTCTCGTTGAGTGGTCCGGTTGGGAGAGGAGGGCCTAAGGGTGTCCCGTTGGGCACAGGCAGTTTTGGGGGTGTCCCGTTGAGTGATCCTGTTGGGAGAGGAGGCCCTGGGGGTATCCCGCTGAGTGGCGGAGCCTCTGGGATGGCCTTGCTGCCTGTCGCTGGGAGAAGAGAAAGGCTGCTGTGGATGGCTTCGCTGGGTGGCTGAGGTGCCGGGGTTATCTCGCTGGGTGATTCTGGAGGGAGAGCTGGCTCTGGGCATGTTCCGCAGGGCAGGTGAGGTCCTTGCAGTGTCCTGTTGGGCAGGTGGTGAGGTCTGAGAGGTGTCCCTGTAGGTGTTTCGGGGAGGAGAGGCGGCGCGGGATGCACTGCGCTGAGCAGAGGCAGCCTGGGCAACATCCCTCAGTGAGGTGGAGCTCCGGGTTCCGCTCTGTGGCACGGTGGAGGGAGCTGGGGTGGGTGCCGCCCGGGGCCGCTCCCAGAAGGCCCCACTTTCTCCCCGGAGCCTGGCCCAGTGTTGTCCGGCACTCCGGCTCCCACCACCAGGATCTGGAGTGAGAAGAGCGAGGTTAGCACTCCGTGGAGGAATCAGGTGGCTCTCCCACCTGGCTTTGTCCCAGTGGGGTGGGGGAGCATGATAAGGGCAGACCCCACACCTACTTCTTAGAGGTTCTCCATTGTCCCTACCAGGTGACCTCACCTCCCGACACCCCCCAAGTAAAGCTGACACCTCCCTGTGGCTGGGACCAGGAGCTTGAAATTGACTCCGGCACTGGGGCACCTTGGGTCCATAGACAAGTCTAGAAGCAGACTGGGAGAGATTAGGGACCCCAGAGACCTTTCCCCATGCTGCTGCCTTAATCCAAGCACACCCCCTCATGGTGACAGCTCTGGAACCCTGGCCCCCAGAACCCCAAGGAGGACCACACAGGTGTGGGAGGGTAGTCTTGGGTTCTACCCCAGGCGCACAGCCTTAGGGTCTGTCCCCACCAGATGCCCCTAGGCCTAGCAGGTACCTCACTGTCCCCACCAGTGAATGTGACTGCCCTGGACAGCAACTGCTTCACCACTCCCAGCCCCACGATGAGGCCATCATGCTTGCATCAACTTCCACTCCCCTCACTGTTCACCCCCATCTGTGAGTGGTGTTGGGTGCCAGTCCTGTGCATGTCATTCAGGAGAGAAGGGAAAGACATTGTAGCTCTGAGGAAGCCACCACTGCCTTCCTTCAAGGCCATGCTCTAGGCCACCGGTCCCCCTGGCCACAGCCCTTCCCTCAGTTGGACCCACTCAAGTATGATTTCCTAGCACCCAGCACAGCCCTTAACACATAGCGTCACCTCCAAATGTTGGTTGTTACTGTCTGGTGGACCAGTGTCCCGAGGCCACCCCAAAATGCAACCCTGGAGCCAGCACCAAGGTGCAGTACTGGTTAAGTCTTGGTTCATTGCACTGGGATCCCATATGGGTACTGGGTTCATGTCCATTTCCCATTCAGCCCCTGCACCCACATGGGAGACCCAGAAGAAGTTCTTGGCTCCTGGCTTCAGCCTGCCCCAGCCCTGGCCATTGAGGCCATCTGGAGAGTGAACCGGTGGATGGAAGATCTCTCCCACTCTCTCTGTTTACTTTGCCTTTCAAACAAATAAACCTTCTTTTAAAAATGCAGCCCCAATCCTGCCTCTCTCATACTTCCATCTGCTCCTGGATGGTGCAGCAAGTTCCCCTCCCCACCACTGTGTCCCAGGAGACTCCTTCCATGTCACTCTGTTCACACCTTTCAGGGACATGCTGTCACAGGTTAGGGGAGACAGGGGGATAGAATGCAATGTGGGATCCTGGGACAGAAGAGGGGGTTTAACAATGACCAAGCGACCCTGGAGAGAGCCTATAGCTGATAGTACAGTACCCATGTGCCAGCCTTGGTTTCCATCATTGTCCTAGGAACATATGCAACACCATGATGGAGAGGGAGGCCCAAATGCAAATTTCTGGTATCCTCTTTGCAACTCTTCCGTGGATCTAAGGACATTTCTATAGAAAATGTTAAGCTGTGCAGGGCTTCCCCACCACCCTGGGCATAAAGTTCAATATTTCCCACAGCCGGATCCTGCCGACCACTGCTTCCCAACTTGCCCTCCTGCACCGTGATCCCCACCCTCCTCCCCTTGCCACCACCAGAGCCCAGTCCTGGCTGCCATGGATACTTGGCAGCCCAGGGCTTTTGCACCTGCTGCTGTTTCTGTCCAGCTCTCTTCTCTCCCTCTGACTCCTCGTCCTTGGGGACGTACGCTCCGAGAAGCCTCCTGGGGCAGCTGGGCAGGGGCAGCTCTCTGTCCGTTTGCTCTAAGTCTGGCTGGTTTGTTTGCCTGTTCTCATCCACGTGTAGTAGGGGCCTAGTGCTCTCATTTCCCATCCTAACCCTGGGACTTGGAGAACCTTAAGCACACTTAGCATGGCATCAGCCCCTGGTGTGGGTGCTGGCTTCACAAAGTGATCTTGGCCACCATTCCTGGGCTTTGCAGCCCCCCAGCCTCAGAGTCTTTCCTTTTCCCCCAATCCCAAACCTCCCTTTGAGCCTAGCCCATTGGGGATAGGCCTGTGCACCTGCAGCTCCCGTGGTGGGTGCAGTGGGCAGGCTCCATGGTTACCCCTGGGCACACTCTGCCCTGTGGGCTCTGCAAGCTGAGATGTGCCCAGGAAGAGAATGGGACAGCTTCTCCAGCACCATGGCTCTGTCTGCAATAGCAGGAAGCTGCCACCAGAGGGACAACAGTGCCTGCTGCGGCCCTACAACCACCCACTGCCTAGCGAGTTCAAGAGCGAGTTCAAGAGCAAGAAAGCAGGCACATGCAAGGAATCAGAAAGTGATTGGAAAGAGTAACTCCTTCCCATACACCCCCCTCCTGGGCTGGCTTGGCAGGAGGGTGGGGGAAGACGACCAAGTTTCATTGATTTATCGTGGAAAGGGCTTAGCCAAGTGTAGACTTGGAAACTGCAAGCAGGGGTCAGATTGGGGGCACGTTTGGGAGGAGGCTCTGGGAACTGCTGATGACTCAGACAGGAAGGGCGAGGAGGGTGAGGGCGAAGGCTCAAGGTCTAAGCCCCTGACCCCTGGTGACAGGGAACACTGGGGCAGAGGGAGGAGCGAGCTGCCAGCCTGCTGCCCATGCCTCTGCTGTAGCTGCCTGCTCTCTGTTCGAGGAACCCAACATTCCTATCTTGAGCCCTGAGGCCCCTGCACTGGCAGCTCCTCTGGCCACCCACAGCCTGAGCTCCCCAGAAAAGACCTCCTTGCCTGCCCAGTCCTCTCCACTCTACAAACACCACGTGACGCTCTGATTGAGTTCATGCCTCTGCCCACGTGCCCTCCACTGGGTATTGGCTCCACAAACACATGACCTGGCCTATTCACTGCTGTTTCTCCCACACTGCTCAGGGCCTGCACACAGCAGGTGCTCAATAAGCACTGCCTGAGTGAAACATGGCGTGAAACATGGCGTGGCACCCTACACATCCAGTGGTAATATCAGTTATAGAGAATTCAGGTGAGAGGGACCGATGCTATAGTGCAGCAAGTCAGACCACTGGCTGTGACACCAGCATCCCTTATGGGTCCACCAGAGCACTGGTTCGAGTCCTGGCCACCCCACTTTGTGACCCTGCTCCCTGCTAATGATGCTCCCAGGAAAGCAACAAAAGATGGGCCCTAAGTATTTGGGCCCTTGCCACCCATGAGAGAGACTGAGACACAGATCCTGGCTCTCGGCCCAGCCCTGGCCGTTGCAAGTGTTTAAGGAGTGAGGCAGCAGATGGAAAGAAGTCACTCGACACTGCCAACACGCAGAAGCGCAGCACATTCATGCACAGGCACCAGAGGGGATGTCGCCTTGGAGCTGACACGCCCTGCTCTGGTCCCAGCTGGGTGCTGTCCCCGGGGCTCACAAATCCTACACAGCCAGCACTGCACCTTGCACCCCTCTCAGATCGTGTGCCCTCAGCCCCAGGCACTGCCACCCACACACACACCCCAGCCCAAAGCGTGACAATGAAGCTTTCTATCCTGAGTCCCCTCCAGGGCATGTGTGGCTTCTGCCTGCACCCGCACAACCATGCTCCTATTTTTACTTTCTTCACCTCTGACTGGGATGCTGGGCCACCCATGTTATTGTCCTTCCCCACAGTCACCAGTTAACTTTGCCTCTTGTCCATTTTACTCTATCCGTCTGTCCTATCTCTCCCCATCTCTCTCCTATCTGTCAGTCATCCATCTAACCCACCATATCCCTTCCCCCTGGCCTCATGGACCTTCTCGGCCAGCCCACTCACCCTGTGCATCTCCTGAGCTCCTTTTTCTGGTACTGAGAGTATGAGGAGGCGATGCGGCTCCCCACACATCGCCTCAGGACAAGGACATTCTCTCGGCTGAGCACAAGGTCATTATCACCCTCGGGAAACAGCACTGACTTGTCACATGCGCCACTGTCCCTTAACACACAGTCCTTAGTGCCCGGAGGCCCCTCTCCCCATTTGTCCAGGGTCCAGGCAGCGCCACATGCAGCAGCACCCCACACCCCTGCCTGGTTGCTTCTTAGTCCAGCTCAAGTCCCTGCCCTGGCACAGTTTCTAAAGCACAAACTCAGTTACTCCCTCTTCCTCAAAACCCTTCCATAGAGACTGGTGTTGTGGCATGGCAGGTAAAGCCAACACCTGTGGTGTTAGCTTCCCGTATGGACACCAGTTCTGGTCCTTGCTGCTTCACTGTTATGCATCAGTTAAGATGGCCCAAGTGCTTGGGTCCCTGTCACTCACATGGGAGACTCGAAGGAAGTCCTGAGTCCAAATTCCTTGACTAGGCTTTCAGCCCAGTAGGGTCAGGCTGAACCAACATCCCCCCTCCCCTTCCCCGCCACACACACACACGCACAGCTTTGCTCAACGTACTCCAAGTCACATCTCCAAGCCCCTGCCCGGCCATGTCCCCAGCTGGCATTATGCCCCACTCAGGGACTCGGTCCCTTGTGCACCAGGCCTGCCCTGATCGCCTTACCCCTGCATCTATTCTTTGCCAGTCCCAGGCCCCTGATCACTCTGGTCAACCTGTGTCCTGGAGCATTGCTGTCTCCTCCTGGACACCCATGGGATCCAACACCAAGTTTTACACATAGTGAGGGCCTATGAGACTGGTGTCTGCTGCAGGAGCCTAGGCCACCCGGGGCCGCCTCCGGGCTTAGGCTATGCATGCCCTAACGCTACGCTCCTGTGTAGACACAGGCCAAGAGGCAGGCGGGCAGGGCAGAGTGGTGCTTGGTGATCCACCCGAGCCACAAGACTGGCCTCCGCAGCCTGGCCCGACTCCACTCCTTGGGGCAGCACCTCCTGGCTTCCCTCAGAGAATGTCTTCTTGCTCAGGACTGGACTACGACCTTGACTTAGCATCCAGGTGGGCCCAGGAACTATACTCCTGGGGATTTAGCGACCAGGTTTGGAGAGCAGATGGAACGCAGCCTGGCCTTGCTGGTGGCCTTGTACTGGGGAGGGTCTGGCTGAGAAGGAAACTAGCAGAAGGAAGGCGGACAGAGGCCAGAGTCCTGCCAGGACACCTGGTTCCAGTCACACCTGACACTGGAACAACTCCTTCCTGGACTTCTCACCGGTATGAATCACTCCACTGAGGCTCAGCCCCAGTCTCTGTCATTCACAAGCTTACAGATCCTAACTCACCAGTCATGGATGATTAGGGCGGAACCGACAGCCAGGCACATTCCGACTGCTGCATAATAATGTGGAGCAGAACTGGCACAGCGAGCCCTACCCAGGGTCCCGAGATCCCGACCAGTTCAGCAGAAAGACTTACCTTCGTTTTTTGGGCTTGCAGAGTCTCCTCCCACAGGGGACCTAGCAGTGACCCTCCGGGCACTGTCAGCCCTGGGCCCCTCCTGCAGCCTCCGAGGGATCATCACGGGGGGTTCGTCCCAGCCGGGGACTGCCTCCTGCCTCTCCACAGCGTTCCAGTCCTGTCGTACAAGGGGGAGGGGGTGCAGAGCAGATGTGGGAGTGCAGATGTGGGACCTGGGCGTCTGTAGGCCCTGCCTGAGGAGCAGGAGGACCTGGCACCAGAGGGGCCCTGGTGGTGTGCTGGGTTCCCTGGAGGGACTAACTCGGCAGGTAGGGGAGCCTTCCCTGTGCCCAGGCTGTGTCTCAGGGCACCTATGTGGACAGCCAGCGGGAAGAACTCCCAGCAAGGCTGTTTTTAGTGAGAATGCTGGAGAGAAGCCTCCAGCCTGCCCCTGGCCCTTGCTACGCCTGGGTCACCTGCTCCCTTTCCAGGGTTGGCAATGGGGCTTGGCTTGCTGTGAACAGAGCAGGACGCTGTGCCAGCCCCATCCTGATCTTGCACACTACAGCCCAACATACAGGCAATGCAGGCAGGCTTGTACTGACCCAAGAGTCTGGGGACGGACCAGGGAGCCCCTGCCTGTCCATACCCCTTCCTACAGCCTCTCTCCTCACCCAGCCGGACTTGCAGCCTGCCCCTGGGCCCAGCTTGCTGGCAACCCCTCTCCCCCAGTTGCCAGGCTGCCAGACGATTGGTCAGGGTAACCCCGGGACTGGAGAGAGAGGGGTTCTCCCCCAGCTCCCAGTCCCAGCTCACCACAGAGGAAGAGTTGCTGGTATCATCGGGGGTGCTGCACCCGGAGCTGGAGCTGCCTCCACAGTCAGGTCCCTGGTCACAGCTGCCACATGGGGAAGATGTCAGGCCCTCCAGACAGGGAAACAAGTAGCCATCCTGGCCCCTGCACCTGGGGGCAACTGAAGGGTCTGGGCCCCTGGGAGCAGAGACAGACCCCAACCTGAAAGCAATGAAGGTGTGACCCCACTCCCAGAGGCACACATGCGCTCTCGCGGGCACCAGAAAACAGGGGATCCACCTGCTAGCAGAGGGCTGTCCCTGCCCTGGGCTCGCTACACGGGTCACCTCGCTCACCCACAACAGCCCCCTCTGAAGTAAGCATGATGGCATCCATTTTACAGATGAAAAAAGTGAGGTCCTCATAGGACAAGAAACCAACCTCTAGACAGCAGAGGATGACCCAAGTGCTTGGGCCCCTGCCACCCCTTGGGGGAGACTCAGATGGCATTCCTGGCTCCTGGCTTTAGGCTGGTCCAGCCTTGGCTCATGGGGGGCATTCAGGGAACGAACCAATGAACAAAACAGTGCACCCTCCATTTCTGTGTCACACTGCCTTGTGAGTAGTTAAAAACAAACATGAAAAAGAGTTCTGTTGTTAAAAGTAGTTTTGGACACACTCCATGCCTTCCAGCTTCCCCTAGCCAAAAACAGCCACGGCTGCTTGCAAGCTAAAGGCCCTGACAAGTCCTGCAGGGAAGATGCCAAACTTCATTACCCAACCCTGCCTGAAAACAGTGGAGCTAGTTGGTGTTTTCAAACAAAGTTCCCTTGGAGGAACACATATTCGCAAAGCAATGGTCACTCAAGTCCAGCCCTCTTCTACAAAGAGATGGAAGCAGAGCTTGCCCAAGGTCCCAGATTGTGGCACACCTGAAGCCTTTTCATTGTTTCAGGCCTTGTTTCTGAGTTTCCAGGACCCCCAAGGCAGCAGATTGGTGGTGCTGTGGAGTCTCAGCAGCCTGGCGGCAGGGAAATCACGGAGCCTAGAGCAGGCACCTCAAGTGGGTGCATGCAGCAACACCCCATGCACAAAGAGAACCCAGACACATGAGTGGGCTGTGAGCCCTACCCATGGCAAGGCGGGCATCACGGTGCTTCCCTCAGAAGCAAGGCTGAGCAGGCTGCATTGTACTGCATGGGGCCCCTGGGAAAAGCAGCCAGGGTTGGGGACAGCAAGCATCAAGCCCAGGGTGCACACAGAGACAGTCTGTTGGAATCTCTCCCAGTGGGCCTAGCGGACATGCCCCCTGCCTGCCTATGCCCAGATGGTGAGGCTGGAGCACGTGACCCATGCCAAGAGCTACACACAGAGACACTGCCATTGGGAAGGGGTGCAGGCAGGGAGGGTGGAGACTTCCCACCCTGGAGAACCATCCCTGGCCCTTGGCGCGGCGGGGGGGTGGGGGCGTGGGGTGTAGCTGGTTACCTACCTCTGAGGCCCTGGCCCAAGATTCTGGTCAGCCGCACGCTGGAGGCTGCAGGTGGAGGTGGCCGACAGAACCCCCAGGGCAGCTGGGCCTCGGGGCAGGTCACAGTAGAGTGCCTCAGCACTTGAAGAATTCCAAGAGTCCTGGGAGACAGAAGGCAGCTCAGCGCCCACGTGGGGGCAGCCCCTCCCAGCCCTGGGCGGGGTGGGCGAACCTCCAGCCATCTCCTGGGATCTCACACTTTCCCAGGAGGGCTGCTCATCATGCTGGGGAGCGCCCCAGGGGACTTGAGCTGGTGGGGGTTGATGGGGGTAGCTGGTGTGTGCAAGCATGCGTGTGCAGGTATGCAGGTATACAAAGGCTGGTGTGTTTGGGGCACACGCGTGCACAGGTGCGCTGCCAGCATGTATACCAAACGTGTGCTGGTGTTCCTGTAGGCTCACCAGTGCAAGTCCATGGAAGTGCACCCGAGTGTGGCGGAGGGGGCAGGTGCTTTGGAAGGGACACTGCACAGGGGGACACTGAGGAGAGCAAGCTGGCTTGTAGAGGTCTGAGAAGGAACAAGGAACGGGTAGTCTGATGGAGGAGGAAACTGGAAAAGATGACCTTGGAGGAGGGTTGCCAGCTTACAGAGAGGCAGGGGAGGGTATAGGGCTGAGCGGTCAGGGCCTCTGGATGGGGCCGGGGGCCTGGAGCCAGCTGCCTGCTCCTCTCGCCCTCCCGCACTCAGCAAGCTCACACCCTCACACCCTGCAAAGGCTGGTGCAGGGCTTACCCGGGGGGGGGGGGACGGCTGCTGGCCTCCAGAAAGGCCCCCCCAAGTCCTCCCCCACCTGCCAGGAGTGGCAGGGCCCTCCCCTGGCGGTGGGAGACAGTGGCCTGGGCACCCCGCGCCCGCCTCCTCTCAGGTTACCTGGGCAGTAGGCTCTGTGGTGACGGCAGTGACGGCTGGCGGCTGTCAGCACCCTCGTCGCCGGGGGGCTCCGGCTCAGGCCCCCACGCTGCTACCCTCCCAAGGCCCTGACTTGGGGCTGTGGTGGCGCGGTGGCAGCAGGCGACGCAGCAGAAACCTTAGAGGGGCCAGCTCCGGGAGCAGGGGCCCCTCATTACTGTTTCATAAGCCGGGACCCAGCCAAGAACAATGCAGGACATGAAACCGCGGGAACCTGATTCCTGTGGCTCACCTGAGAGCCAGCCGGGCCAGCCGCCTGGGCAGGGGCTCCCTGGGGACTCCGAGCCCAGAGCCATTCCAGGGACCAAAGCCGAGGCCATGGGTTTGATCAGCACCTCCTCCTCCCCTGCGGGTGAGCCCATACACTCAAGGTTCCAAAAAAGCCACACATGGCAGGGTCTGGGTGGTGCCAAGGAGTGGGGCCGGGTGTCTGCCATTCAGCTAGACCAGTGGCTGCCAGTCGGACTCTGCTTGCCCTTGCCCAGCAGTCTGATTCTGATCAGAACACACACAGCAGCAGGTGTCAGATCCACGGCCCTGCCTGGCGCCTTGGCCACCCAAGGGACAACACAGCACCAGTGGGGAGGGAGCAAGCAGCTCCCAGGACATTATCGAGGGGTCCCAGTGCAGCCAGCAGGCCTTTTGGGACCCCTGCTGACATGGCAACTTGCCCTTGCTCATACCCCGGAATGATCACTCACTACCACAGAAGCAGGCTCAGCTGGCAGTGCCCAGCTCTGATTTCCTGTCAGGCGGGCCAGCCCAGGCTCTGGCCTCCAACAGTCCTTGGGGCCCTATCCTGGCTCTTCTGCTTCCTAGCTGGGTGATCTCAACCCAGTGGCCTACCTCTCTGATCTGTGAAATGGAAACAGAGGCAGCTGAGCCCTGAGCTAGGGGACTATTTCCTGTGCCCTAGCTCATCAAAGCCCCGTGACACTGGCACCTGCCAAGCGTTATAAACATGATCAAATGACGGAAGAACATCACGTTGGATTTCATGCAGGTGTAATCTGCATGTCAGTGTTCAATACAGTTCAGAATGAATGTGTGGAAAAGGCAAGGGCAGTGCCCAGACCGCCTTCCCTCTGAACTTGGCAATGACCTGGCTTGATCACTTTCCCCCCAGAGCGGCTGAATCAGAGGGGTTTTCAGAAAGTTTGTGGAAAATGCAGGTTATGAAAATGCATTTCTGCATTTGGGCAGCCAAGTAAACATCTTTCAATTCCATCCTTCATGGGCTTTTGGGGTGAATCTCTGATGTCAGAACCAGACCTGCCCCCCCACCACCTGAGCTGCAGAGGGCAGCTTTGCCAGTGTTCCAGTACTCAGCTTGCAGTCTGGTGTGTGTGGGGGGGAGGCGGGCAGTCAGGAGAGAGAACAGACAGAGAGGAGGACAATCAGAGAGAGAGAGCTTCCATCTACTGGTTCACTCCCCAAATGACCATAATGGCCACAGCTGGGATAGGCCAAAGCCAGAAGCTCCTGTCTGGCCTTTCACAGGTATGGCAGGGACTCAAATAGGTCGGCATCTTCTGCGGTTTTCCCAGGCAAGGAGATGAACAGGAAGTAGAGAAGCTAGGGCGGCTTGAACTGGTGCCACAATAGAGAAGGCTGGCCTTGTAGGCTGGGGCTTAATGTACTACACCACAATGCTAGTTACTGGGAGATGATTTTTTTTTTAGCAAATGGAATAAAGAAAAAAAAAAAAAGCCAAACCTCTAAATGTTTGAATTCTGTTGACCCAAAGCTAGGGGCAAACAGAGCCAATCATTCAGAGTCCTTAAAAAGCAAATCTGACCAGACATGGTTCCACGGGGATCAGCAATGACAGCAACAGGAGGGGACAGAGCAGGCCAGGGGCCAGGACAGCTTGGCTCCCTAGGCAGCAGCAGGAGGCACCCACCCACCCACCCACTCCATCAGCAACCAATGAGGGAGCAGCACAGGACGGAGCTCAGCAGGACATCCCGGATGCCGGGAAGGCACGTGGAAGTCCACAAGACATTTATCATCACATCTGGGACACGGGATCATCTCTTGCCCACAGCCAGGTCTTAGCCCTGGTCACCCTCCTTGCCCTCTTAAGGGAAGTTTTCAAAGCAAGGGGGATCTCAAGGTTTCACACCAGTGCCTTGAAATTTCTCAGGCTCACACAGCCTCTGGCCACTGCTGTCCTTCCCTAAGGCTCAGCCTGTATCCTGTCACATGCTGACTGCCGCAATCCCCGCCACCACACACACACCAGTCCTCTTCTTGGCCCACTCAGCATTCTCTCGCATACACAGTCGGCTCTCCCAGGAGCAAGACTTTAAGCAGGGACCAGAATCTGGTGCCAGACGAGCCCCTGTCCTCCAGGTCTGCCGTGTCCTACACCTCCTGTTCCTCATGTGCCAAACTACCCAGAGAAGCAACTCCCATCCTGCAGATTCGCCTCCTGCTCAGGGAATTGGTCTCCCAGTACCTGTCACCTCTGGCACGAGCAAGTCCAGGAGCTGTTTCCGCATGGGTCACCCCAGTTCACTCTGCCCTCCAGAGACTGCATGGTGCATAGCACTCAGAGCGACTCAGCACACCATCTGCCTCCCTCCCTCAGCTGCAGTCTGCCCTTGGGGGAGCAGCAGGGTTGGGCACAGCAGTCCAGACACAGCCTCCTGGAATGCTTTAGTCCTAAATCAGCAGCACCCAGGTTCAAGTTCTGACTCCACTCCCAATTCCAGCTTCCTGCTGGTGCACGGTCTGGGGGTGGGTGGGGCGGTAGACAGCACATGAGGATTTAAGTACTTGGGCCCCTGTCACTCACAAGGCAGGTCAGGCCGGGATGGAGTTTCAGGTCCCTGACTTCAGCCTGATCCATCCTCAGCTACTGCAGACATTTGGGGAATAAACCAATGAATAAGATCTCTTTCTCTCTGGGCCGTGTTCTTTTTTTTTTTTTTAAGATTTATTTATTTATTGGAAAGTCAGATATACAGAGAGGAGGAAAGACAGAGAGGAAGATCTTCTGTCTGCTGATTCACTCCCCAAGTGAGCACAACGGTCGATGTTATGTCGATCCGAAGCCAGGATCCAGGAACCTCTTCCGGGTCTCCCACATGGGTGCAGGGTCCCAAAGCATTGGGCCATCCTCTACTGCTTTCCCAGGCCACAAGCAGGGAGCTGGAAGGGAAGTGGAGCTGCAGGGATTAGAACCGGCGCCCATACGGGATCCCGGTGCGTTTAAGGTGAGGACTTTAGCCACTAAGCCACGCCGCTGGGCCCTGGGCTGTGTTCTTAAGCCTCCACCTGTGATGCTGGCGTCCACTAGGGATACTGGTTCGTATCCTGGCTGCTCCACCTCCCAATCCTGCTCCCCAGCCAATGGTCTGGGAAAAACAGTGGAAGATGTCCAAATATTTGGGTCCTGGTCATCCATGTGACAGACCCAGAAGAAGCTCCTGGCTTCTGATTAGCTCAGCTCTGGTCATTGCAGCCATCTGAGGAATGAATCAGTGGATGTGAAATCTCCCTGTGCCTCCCTTTCTGTGTAGTTCTGCCTTCACAATAATTGTATGAATGAATATTTGAAGAAAGGACCCAGCAGGATTTGTCTTTCTGGGCAGGAAGAGGAAGACAGGAAACAAGTATTGAAGAGCCACACATTCCTTGGCAAAGCAGCACCCTGTGTCCTGAGGGAGAAATCTGCTGTCCCCACATGGCACATGAAGCGGGAGATGCCAACCATTGCGATCCACATCCAGCCAATGACAAGCCCAGGTTGTATCCTGGCCCACCTGGCTCCAAAGCTGGGTGGCAACCTCAACAGTGGCCAGTTTTTGGGACCTGCCCCTTGATGGAGGGTTGGCTGCCAGGCCCTGGGGCAGTCTCAGAGCTCCCTGGGGACAATGGAGCCCAGGGCACTGGAGCCAGAAGGGCCTCTGGAGGTGCCAGGGTACCCTGCTTCTCAGGCACATAGACCAGGTGCTCTGGGCTCAGCATCAAATCACATGATCACACAGGGAGAAAAGGGCTTGCCTTTCACACCTTCAAGAAGAAAGTTTCCCATGGGAGATGGCTTCTGTGGAACCTGTTAACCGACAAGTAGCTTGCAGATGGAAGTTCCAAGTTCTCAGTCCATAGCTCCCCCAAGAGAGCATTTCATGAAATCGTTGAATTTCTTTTTCTAATGCTCTCTCTCTCTGATCTATCTGTCTATCTGTCTATCTATCTATCTATCTATCTATCTATCTATCTATCTATCTATCTATCTATGAGATTAGCAGAGAAGAGAGGGAGAGTTAGAGAGCTCTTCCATATATTTGTCTGCTCTGGAAGTGGCTACCATGACCAGGCTGAGCCCATCAGAAACCTAGGGCCCGGTGCAATAGCTCAGTGGCTAAATCTTCACCTTGTAAGTGCAGTGCTGGGATCCCATAAGGAGACTGGTTCATCTCCTGGCTGCTCCACTTCCCACCCAGCTCCCCGCTTGTGGCATGGGAGAGCAACAGAGGAAGGGATCCTGAACCCGTGTGGAAATCAGGAAATGCTCCTGGTTTCAGATCAGCTTAGCACTGAGTGTTGTGGCTGTTTGGGGAGTGATAGAAGATTTTTCTCTCTGTCTCTCTTCGCCATAAATCTGATTTGCCTTTCCAATAAGAATTTTTAAAAATCTTAAAAAAAGAAGTGGGCTCAGCTAAAGTCCTCGCTTTGCATGTGCTGGAATCCCATATAGGTGCTGATTCTAATCTTGGTGGCCCTGCTTCCCGTCCAGCTCCCTGTCTGTGCTTTGGGAAAGCAGTCAAGGACGGCCCAAAGCCTTGGGACTCTCTACCTGCATGGCAGACCCAGAAGAGCTTCTGGCTCCTGGCTTCGGATGGGCTCAGCTCTGGCCATTGTGGCCACTTGGGGAGTAAATCATCGAATGGAAGATCTTCCTCTCTGTATATCTGCCTTTCTAATAAAAATAAATAAATCTTAAAAAAAAAAAAAAGGAGCTGGGAACTTCATCCAGGTCTCCTACATGATTGGCAGGGGTCCAATTCTCGAACTGTCTTCTGCTGCTTTTCCCACATGCATTAGCAGGAAGCTGGGTTGGAAGTGGAGCAGCTGCGATGTGAAATCAGCTCCCATAAAGGATGGATGTTAGGATTGCAGGCAGTAGTTTTATCCACTGCACCATATGACAGTTCCCCTACCCACCCCAGCCCTTGTGAAATCTTCTAGCCATAAGACATGATCTGAACTTTGTATTTGTGGGAGCGATGTAAAGTTTTGTCTCAGCACAAAGAAAGGGTGTTGACCCAAAGAACAAGAAAGGAAATGGTAGATCAGATGAGACTGCAATAAAAACCACAAGAGGAGAAGGAACATGCTTGTAGATGGAAAATGCTAACAAGCACCCCAGCCACCTCACAGGCAGCCTGGGAAACCGAGGCTCTGTCCAGGAGGGAGGTTAACAGCTGGGCAGGTGCTGAACCAACTCCCCAGCGCCCAGCATCCCCCAGCACACAGCAATGCTGGTCCACCTGTGCTGAGCCGATGCCCCAGCACCCAGCACTCCCAGCACACAGGGACACCAGCCCTGAGCTGACGCCCCAGCACTCCCAGCACCTCCCAAAATGTGGGGACGTGGGCTCACCTGGTGCTGTGTTTGATGTACCACCTTGGGCTGGAAGCAGTTGTCACAGCTGCCCTGGGTGGACGCACAGGCCCCAGAGTGTCCACTGGAGATGTCCCCAGCCATCTCTGCCATTCCGGGTGAGTCAGGCCAGGCCTGTCCCTGTGAAGCAACAGCTGACTCTTCCACGTGAGGCCTGGGGAGAAGCAAGGGGAAGCAATGCCCAGATAACCAGCTGGCCCCAGGCCAAGGTAATCAGGCTGTCCATCCGTTCACCTGTCCAGTTACCCACTCAGCAGATGCTGCTTGTCTCCTAAGTCTGCCCAGATGTTCTGCCAAGCACTGCCCCTAACCCCTGTGTGGGTCAGGAATCTGTATTCCTGCTTCCTGGGATGCTCTTGGTATGCAATTGTCATCTCCCCACCCCATCTTGCCCCACTCCCATCCTCCAGCTGGAATCTGGCTGCCAATCTCCTAGGTAACTGCAGGACACCCCAAAGTTTTAGTGCCCTTGCCTCATAGTTAACCCTTCCTGCCTACAGTCACAGAGTGTTTGCAGTAGACTTTACCGAAACAAAAAAAAATCCCATGTACTGACCTGTGCGGAGGGCTCTCCCTTCTGGGAGCCCTAGCAACCACACTGGATCAGAGGTCCCCTCCCACTCACACACTTGCAGGAGGAGGCTGGGGAGTGCATGCAATGCAAGATGCCAGAACACACATGCATCACAGGGTGCGCCAGCTCCCTGGCCAGTTCTGTCCTTAGCAGGTGCACCCTCCCTCAAACAGTCCCAGGGGATGGGGCCTCTGCTGTCAACCAGAGCTAGAGAGCTGAGGAATTTCACGCCTCCCTGGGGCCTTGCTCCCCCACAGGACCAGGAGGGGTGGGTGAGTGGGAACCTGCATGCTGGGAGAGGCACCCTCTCGCCCCCCCTTGGCCGAGGAGGGCCCTAGATTCTCCCCCAGCTGTCAGCTTCCAGGGAGGGTGAAGTGAACCGCATCCATCCAGCTGGGGCGGTGCTTCTCCAGCCACATAAAGGAGCATCGCCTTGGAGGCAGGATGCCGTGCATTTGGCTGGAGGCGGGCGGCCGGCCGGGGGGGCTCTGCTCCACGTGCCCCCTCGCTTGCTCTCCCACACCCGACCCACGGGCAGAATCTTCCTCTGAAATACGCTGTAGGGGTGCATATAGCGACGAAACCCCCTAAGTGGATCCACACATCCCTCTCTGGCCAGCGAGGTGGGGGACCCCGACTTCTCTCCAAGCAGCCGGCCCTTCCTCGTGTCTCTCCTTCCACCACCCCACTCCCATAGGCCTCCCCTCTCTACCTCCTCGTCCACGCCGCCCAGCACCAACCTCGGCTCAGGTTTCCACGCATCGGGGCTGCAGCCCGGGGAGCTCCAGGGTCACGGCCTCCCTATTTTAACAATGAAATCAGAACCTCGCCCGGGAGGCGGCGGAACACCACACCCCTGTCGCGTTCTTATAGGCTCTCTCGGGTGCTTTATTTACATGTCGACCGTGGGATTGGCCAAGCCGGGGACGAGGGGCGGAGCGGAGGAGGGCGGTGCCCAGATGCCTTGGAGCGCGGGACTCACCGCACGTTTAGCCTGGGCTGCCCAGTCCCTCACCGGCCCGGCCTCCCCGCAAAACCCGGGTGCCCTAAGGAGGGGTTGGCCCATGCAAACCTGGCCTCTCTTCTCATCTCCCTCCGGTCCACAGTTCTCCTCTAGACTGGCTTCAGCCGGTCACTTGAGCCAGAGCCATCCCCTCTTGTCTGCGGAATGGCACTACTGAAAGGGAATGAACCAGTACTACAGCGCTGTGCACTGGTTTCCAACCCCACTCGCACATTTTCACACACTTGGCGCTCACTTCCCAGATATTTACCTCCTCCCCGCGTTTTAAACTAACGTTTATTTTGCACTACTTATACCAGTTCCTATCCCAAAGCTTTTACATCCATGTAGACACAAGGACCTAAATAAATTTTAAAGATGTATTTGAAAGGCAGTTACAGAAAGGGACAAACAGATCTTCCTTCCACTGGTTCACTCCCCAAACGGCTATGATAACCAGAGCAGGGCCAGGCCAAAGCCAGCAGTCTCACCCAGTCTCCAACAAGGTGCAGGGGCTATTCTCTGCTGCTTTCCTAGGTACATTTGCAGGGAGCTAGACCAGAAGTGGAGCTCTGGGACTCAAACTGGTGCCCATATGGAATGCTAGTGTTGCAGACGGAAGGTTAGCTTACTACCCCACAACTCGGGCCTCAGCAAAGGAAGCCCGGAGGAGTTAACTAAGCTGCCAGTGTCACACAGCTAGGAGGTGCAGAGCCAGGACTAAGACGGGAGGGTGGGACTGCAGAGCCTCCTTCTCTCGCTCACTCGGGGGCTCTCCTGTGCCTGATATACTCTGCTGCCAGATGTACCCACAAAACCACCACACACCGAGAATATCCAGGAAAAACTGCACCTGTGTAAAACTTGGTTTTCTTGTCACCACTCCCTGAACGATACAGCGTGACAGTTCTTTTACATGGCAAGTACGTTGTCTTTGGTATTCTAAGTGGAAAGGAACAAGTGTCCTCAAGGGTCTATCCTACAAGGCACTTGAGCATCTGTGGTTCCAGTGTCCTGCATGCAGCCCTCCAGAGCCACAGAGGGACAGGCCGTGTGGGGCATGAGGGAGGTGGTAACAGGAGCCAGTGTTGTAGTGCAGCGGGCTGGACTACTCTGCTTGCTAGCTGGCTTCCTGCTAACGCACCTAGGAAGCCAATGGAGGATGGCCTGAGTGCTTGGATCCCTGTACCCACTTGGAGATCTAGATGAAGCTCCTGGCTCCTGGTTGCAGCCTGACCCAGCTCTGACTACTGCAGTCATTTCGGGAGTGAATCAGCAGATGGAAGATCTCTAACTTTACTTCTAGACAGAAACATTTTTTTTAAATATGAAGAACTCCCAGCTCAGCAGGGCCTGGCTGAACCACAGCTTCTCCACAATTTCCATGTGCTTCCTGCCCAGGTTCTAGCACATCCGGGCTGTGTGGTCTTGAGAAAGCGACTGACCTCTCTGAGCCCGGGGGGGGGGGGGGTAGGGCTGGAGTTTCAAGCAGAGTAGTCCCCGCCCCCAATAGCTGACCCCATAGTCAATCCAGGCTGGCGCTCCCGACTACTCATTCAGCACTTTCAGAGGGGCAGATACAGTGGTGCAAGTGAAGTCACCAGTCACAGTCCCAGCAGCCCCTATTGGAGTGCTGGTTTCAGCAGATCTTCCATCCGATGATTCACCCCCCAAGTGACCACAACGGCTCACGATATGCCCATCCGAAGCCAGGAGCCAGGAACTTCCTCCAGGTCTCCCACACGGGTGCAGGGTCCCAAGGCTTTGGGTAGTCCTCAATTGTTTTCCCAGGTCACAAGCAGAGAGCTGGATGGGAAGCAGGGCTGCCAGGATTAGGACAGGTGCCTATATGGAATCCTGGCGTGTTCAAGGCAAGGACTTTAGCTGCCAGGCCACGGTGCTGGGCCCGGGGCTCCACTTCTAATCCAGCTCCCTGTCAGTGTGTCTGGGAGAGTAGAAGACATCCCAGGTGCTCAGCCCATGTCCATGTGGGAGACCTGATGGAGTTCCTGGTGAGGGCTGTGGTTTCAGAGCCTGTGAGAAGGCAAGGCTGGGCTGGAGTGAGGGGTAGGGGGAGGATCGGGGGAGTTCTGGGGCTGCCTACTGGCCTCTCTGTGGGCAGGGCCAGCCTCCTGAAGGGAGGCTGTGGGGAGCGAAGGGGCTGCTGCAGGGCAGGGGGCACCGAGACTCTCAGTAACCTACACAGGGGTGGTGGCACTGTACTAGGAGGAAGGCAGATCCACCCTCCTAGCACACAATGAAGAGGAGGGCGCTTATCCGCCCACACCCCTGCCATACCACAAGGCTCCTCCTTTAGATTCACTCCTATAAAGGAACGCACAGGATCAATCACGTAGCCTAAGGCCCACTGTCAGTCCACAGTAGAGGCCAGTGGGACACAGAAGCTCTTGGCAACTGTCACCATCTGGGCCCCCTCAGCTTGTGCTGCTCCACTGGGCTGGGAGACCCTTGTCACGGAGCAAGAGAAGCTGCTGTGTCACCTGTTAAATGGGAATGGTCCCCCCGCCACCCGTAGGCTCTGGGCAGGTAAGGTAGAGGTGCTGGGGCAGGAGGGCACTGCGCTCCACAGGGGGTAACCCGAGATGGTGCCAGCCTGCAGCCACCCTGACCCCCTGAAGAGTAAAGAACCCATGTGGGCAGATACGCTCTTACTGAAGCCAGAAAGCTCAACTTTCACATAAATTCTTAACAATTCCTTTCTTAAAAATCCATTTTATTTGAAAGGCACAGAGACAGAGGAGGGAGAAGCATCTTCCACCTTCTGGTTCACTTCTCCAGGAGCACCTAGTACCCTCTGGGTCTCCTAGGTGGGTGGCAGGGAGCCATCACCTGCCACCTCCTGAGTCCCCAGTGTTGATCCATTGTCAGGCCTGGCTTTACTCAGAGCAGCCCCGAAACAGTCAATCAGTTGTCCCATCTCCTTGGTGAGGGCTCACGTGCCACCTCCTCCACAAATTTCTTAGCCTTAAGTAGGAGCTCACTCTGGGGATGAATTCCTCACATCTCTCAGGGGGTGAGGGGTACCCCCGGAAGGCAAGTTTTGGGGCATGAGCTTGCTTAGGGTCCCTCTCTCCTGCAGATGGCTCCCCATGGCTTGGGCACCCTTCCCTAGGGATATGCATCCGCCTAGAGAGACAGTTTAAATCCTGACTTCGACCCAGAGGCGGTGAGCAGTCAGACTGGTTGCCACAGTGGCGTAGCCAAGGGGGCACCTCACCTCAGAGCAGGCTTCAGGACGTAGCTACTATGACCACTCAGTGGGTAAACCATGCCTTGGTACAGCCAGTACTCAGAAACCAGAAGCTAGCACCACTCCTCGGCACCCCCACAGCTGTGCTCCCTGGAGCACAGTCACCCCCACGCCTGGGTGCTCAGGCAGGGCTAGGGGAGGGCCCTGGCCTTCCTGGCTGAGCTGGACGTCTGGGACCCGTGGTCATTGTTCTTGGCAGCACAGCCCACGGCCTAGCCTCTTGGGAAGGTTCTGACAAGGGCCACTCCAGGCCTGCAGCTGCCTGTGCTCCAGTCAGACCGCATCCTGCAGGGTGTAGCCCAAGGCCAGCACCCCTCAGCTGCACCATGAGTCTCCATGGGCCTCGAGGTGGCACCATGCTGTGGCCTTGCTCCTGGCCAGTACAGGACACTGTCAACCAGTCAACTCTTCCCTCACCCCCTCCCCTCGCTGCTGGCTCGTGCAGCCATCACAGAGGTTACCAAAGACAGAGCCCTGAGCTCCAGGCAGCTACTTCTGGCCAGTCAACCAGAGAATTCTGACGTCATCCCGTTCATTTCCAATTTGAATAGAACAAGCAGCTGAACCGAACCCTTCTTGCTAAAGCTCCTCGGGCCTGGAAGAGCAAGCCCAGAGTGGAGCATCGGGAGGGGCTGCCAGGAGGAGGGGCTCTCCAGGGCACACCAAGCCCACCACCCAGCCCCCAGGATTAGCCGTGTCATTTACCCGGGGTCTTCTGGAAGAACTGGTGGCACACACAAGTGACAACGAAGATTTAACGCTGAGAAACATTACCAACTGGGGACAGCTTCCTGTCAGCAGAGCTGAGAGAAGGGGCTGGGCCAGCCTGGGTGGTGGCGGGCCACACCCTGAAGGGTGAAGTGGCTGAAGCCCCGGGGTAGACCCCTCAGGTCACCTCCACAGGTCCTAAGAGGGCAGCAGCAAGCAGCTCACTGGCTCAACAAGCTGTAACGTGAGGGTCACTGGCTTCTTTGTTGGGCTCCGCCTGGAGCAATGAAAGTGCCCACAGCTAGGGGGGAAGTGACCACCTCAGTGCCATCGGAAGGTGCTGCCAAGGCCTGGGAAGAGGCCCAGGCCCAGGCAGGCAGGGCAGGACCGCAACGGCCCAAACCACCCTGGCCACCCACCTGTGAAAGCAGCAGGTGGGCCATGCGTTCTGCCCAGCCCGCCACAGCCAGTACAGTCTGTGCCCACAGGGAGGCACACTGGACAGAGGCAGGGCCTCTCTCCCAACCACTTCCCCTGTCCAGACATTCCGGTGGTGTGTGGTCCAAGCCTAAAGATAAACCAAGTACCAGGTGTACACCTGGTGTGCTTCCCAAGGTGGTGGGGCCCAGGCAGGGTAACCATCAGGGCAGACGCCCCACACCTGGCTTGCACAAGTCCTCCAGTGGGTTGGGGAGACAGCAGCCTATCTCTGGTTGGAAACCCAGCGTGCCTCAGGTTGCTGGGCCAGGTCAGGCCCTGCTGGCTGCCGGGAGCTCACTCCCTGCAGGGCTGGGTTTCAGGCATGGACCATGCCTTCTGGGCTCCTGAAGGGCTCACTCCCCACTGGAACGGGCTTTGCCCGTCAGACGGCGCCGCTGCGTCTTGCTGGTGCGTGTGGCACTCGGGGGTTTCTTGGAGTCCTGGGTGCGACGGGCATGCTTCCGCTTGGCCTTCCTGCGGCTGTGCGCGTGCAGCGTCGCGGTGAGGGAGGAGATCCTGAGAGCACAGGGAGGGAGGCGGGGCCTCCACTGACCCCAGGGCACAGTGCTGGTGGGAGGCTGGGCTGGGCTGGGCGGGCAGTGACCCAGGCGACAGGCCCTGATGCTGGGCGGGCTGGCCAGTGACTGCCCTCTGAGAGCAAGCCCTTCACCCAGGCATCACAGCACCTATGCTGGGATGCACTCAGGCAGGGTAGGGCATATGCAACGAGGCAAACGGGTGGGCTGTTCAGGTCCTTCAGCCGCCTGATACCACCCGTGGGGTAAACAAAAGGGGGCCCCGCTATCTCAGTCATGTGGGGCTGGGCAGACCAGAGGCAGGAGCTCACCGTTCAGATAGCAGGGGGTCTTTGGACTTCCTGGGTAAGGCTCGGATCGGCTTCTCAGTGGAAGGCACCTCGTCCGTGGACTCATCCCCCAGCCTCTGCTCAAGGCACACAGGACAGAACAGGTACAAGGTGAGGGGCAGGCAGGAGGCCTGGGGTGGAACCCCCAGCAGGCAGGTTTCAATTCCTCTCTGCCTCAGCTTCATTGCCCATCAGGAGAATTCAAACTGGGTGATGGGGACAGTGTCAGAGTGTGGACACTGCACACCTTCACACTGTAACCAACCTGTAAGCCTCCTGGTCCCTACATGGCCAGGCAGCCCCAGTCCCAGCAGGCCTATATAGCCGGCACCCACAGAACTGCTCTCCTACTGACCACCAGGGTCCTGCTGCCTGCCAACAGTGTCCCCAGGCCAAGGCTGCCTAGCACACAAAGGGAATGACCACAGCCAGCTGTGACCACAGCACCAGTACCAGGTGACCCCCACGGGCTATCCATGACCTCCCTAGTCCTACCAGCAAGGTGCTCCCTGGGCTAGGCAGGAAGGAGGCCACCCAGGCAAGGACACCCACCCCAGCTTCCTCATCACTCAGAGGCTCAAGGCCAGGCAGTAGGAGCCCAGGGGCCCAAAGGAAGTAGCCCTGTGCCCTGGGCCAGTCTGGCCTCGTCAAGACAGCAGCCTGCCTCCAAGCCCCTCCTGCCCCTGCCACTTTCGGCAGACAATACATCCTGTTTCCCCCAGTGCTGGCCCGGGACCCACCTCAGGCGGGGAAAGCCCGAGCAGTCGGGCCCCTGAGAGATCCAGGTCGCTGATGGTGGTCACGGTGACAGTGTGGTTAGGGTGGTCGTACTGCACCGACTCCGTCTTCGCTGTTACCAGGCGCTCCAGCTCGTCAGCCTCCTCTGCACAGGCAGGCAAAGCTGAGCCTCAGCCAGCGAGGACAAGTGCCCGCCTGCCTGGCTTTCGGCTCCCCTCCCACCTGCCTCAGAGTCGCCCCTCCCTTTGTGCTGCAGGCGAACCCCCACTTCAGACAGCTCCCATGTGACACCACCCACTGCGTGCTCTCTGGTCCTCAGGGACTGGGCTGCCCGGCCAACCACGAAGTCTGTCTCCTCCTCGCCTCTGGTCCAGATGTACTTTGAGGCACTTGAGGTCCACTCTTGGGCCCTGGGGCGCCACCATGATCCCTGGGACACAGCCCTCGTGCCTCTCTCCACCCGCCCGCCTATCGCTGGGCACACCTCACTCACCCAGCGCCTCCTCCCTCTCGGCCAGCATCTTCAGGTACTCCTGGTGGCGCTGCAATTACACAGAGCAGGCCCTCTCAGCCCATCACAGCCAGGGGCTCCCTGCCCCCACAGCCCCTTCCAGGAGGACCACCCAGGAGGACCTCTCAGCCCATCACAGCCAGGGGCCCCCTGCCCCCACAGCCCCTTCCAGGAGGACCACCCAGGAGCCCAGGAGGACGGAGACCCCACCTCCTCGCGCAGTTTCTTCTGTTCCTCCTTCAGCCGCTGCCGCAGCTCCTGGATGGCCGCCCTCTTGCGCTCCACCTTCCGCTTGTGGAAGCCTGTCAGGTACTCCCTGCAAGGAAGGGACGGGTCAGGATGGGGTCCTGGGAGAGAGGGGCTCTCCCCGTCTCGGGTCTGCCCGGTGGGTGCTCCACTGTCGCTTCGCCCCGGCTCCCCCCAGGGCTGGCAGGACTCGGGGCTGGGGTCCGAGCCGCACCCCACTCGCTTCCTCCGGACGCGGACCGGGTCGGGGGTCCCGGCAGGAGCAGGTGCAGTCAGCGCACTCCCGGGGTGTGCCGGCAACCACCCTCCGCGTGAGCGACCCGGGCCAGGCTTCGCACTCACCGTCGCTTCTCCTCGTCAAAACTGAGTACGAGCCGCGGCCGCCGCTCTCCGCCATCTCGCTGCTTCTTCTTGTTGCGGCCCATGGCGGGGATACCTCCGGCGGGATGGCTTCCTTTCTCCGGAGACACTTCCGGGTGCAACGTGTGCAACCTCCCGGGCGCGCCCCGCGTCTCCGCTGCTCCGTTCCGGCCGGCCGCGCCGCGCCTTTTAAAGGGGCCGCCCTGCCGGCTTCCTGCTTCCGGCCCCGGAAGCGTGCACGACCCCGCGCTCTGGGCGACTCCCCCATCCTGGCTTCAGGTCCCAGGCCCCACATCCCGGGACAGTTCCTGCCGGCCCAGAGAGCTTTTCGTGAATGACCAGAAGCTACTGGTTCTGATGTGGATTTGGATGTCAGAGCCCAGACCCTGCACCCACGTAGGAGACCTGGAGGAAACTGGCTGCTGACTTCAGATCGGCTCAGCTCGGGCCGTTGCAGCCATATGGGAGTGAACCAACAGATTCTCTGTCATTCCTTCTCTTTGTAAATCTGGCACTCTAATAAAAACACATAAATCTTAAACATACACTAATCCTTGACTGAAAATGAGGGTGTTATAGCAACGCCGGCTGTGTAGCTCGGAGTGACAGGGAACCAAGCTTCCCCATGGAGGAGAGGGTCAGCCGAGGGCCAGGAGCTGGGCAGCGTGCATGTATGGAGTGCCAGCTGTTTGCCAGGTGCGCAGACAGCAGATGTACCTTCTGAGACAGGAAGGGACTGTGGTGTGGGTGGGTCTTGAAGCGGGATCTCTGGTGTCCCCACTCCGCTCTGTGGGGGCCTGGCCCATTCCCACTCTGGGGGGCCAGCAGGAGGGACCCTAAAGAGGAGCCAGGTGTGGTGTGGCTGCCACTGGAGTCCCCTGCTTGTGGGGGCTCCATGCCCGGAGGGGGGCCAAGTGGAAGTGACTCTCCAACACCCTTTTCCCTGCAGGGGGTTGCCTTCGGGATGGGGGTGATTGGGAACTGTCCTTCCCCTCACCCAGCCACTTCTGCCCCTGGTAGCTGTGCCTTAATGCTGCCCCAGGGAACCCTAGTCCTGGATGGCAGTATCTTCCTGATGGCCATGCTGCCTCCACTGGGGCTGCCTCCCATCCCCCTTGGGGATCTCAGGTTGCCCCAGCTCTGGTTACCAGGGTCCCCCCAGCCCACTCATAGCCCTAAAGCTCTACAAGGCTGGCTCTCTCCTCCCTCACTCCTGTCCAGACGGCCCAGGAGGCCCAAGCAGCTAGGACACAGTGACGCTGCCCCCACCCAACGACCTCCAATGCAAGGGGCCATGCTCCTTGTTCCAGAAAACAGCAACAGGGACTGCCCAGCACCCTTGGTAGCTCAGTTTCTCCTTGGAATAGTTTTGCCATTGTGCATTTCTTGCTTGAGCTGCTGCCGTGAGCCTGGGACATGCATTGTCCTAGTGACAGGGACGCCAGCTGCAAGGCCTGCGTTCAGTGTCCAGCTGTGCCACGGACTGTGGCTGCAGTGACGGGGGTTTCTGAGCCCCCACACGTAGGACCTGAATGGTATTTCTGGGTCCTCAAGGATTGGAGCCAGCACATGGGAATGGCTTTCCCTGCCTAGCAAAAACAAAACAAAAGCAAAAACACAGTGCTGGCACAGCAGGTTCTAGGGACAGAAATGACAACGAAGCAAAAGAGGACATGAAAAAAGATAACACAGCTGCCGCTTGCTTGGTTCCTTCTGTGAGAACCTCTTGGGAGGCCTGGCTGGGTACAGCCACCTGCTCAAAGTCACACAGCTGAGAGGACCAGGCGCAGGCCTGCTGGGGAAGGAGCTCCACCCACTTTCTCCAGATCCTGCTTCCTAGGCTGGTGAGACACAGGGAGTCCCAAAAGGGGTGAAGGAACCAACGTGTCCTGGTACCCCTGCCATGGGTCATGCATGACCCTACCTTATGTCCACAGCCCCAAGGGGTAGCTTCTAGGGTTCACTCAAAAGGTTCAGAGAGGCGGAGGAGCTGGTCCAAGGAAACTCAGGTCTGTCGGAGTCCACCTTTCTCCCTGCAGACCTAATGGTCTCTCTCCCCTGCCCTACAACTCTCCTGTCCCCTCCGTTAGCCCAGCCATGATTGACGCTATCCCGTCAGGACAATCAGGTCGGGATGCACTTTCTCTATTGTCCAGCAGAGGGCGCCCGTCAATAGCCAAGCTTCCAAAGCCCTCACTGTAGGTGTAGGGGCTACGTGGGAGCCCGACAAGAGCCAGGAAAGTGGGTGTGGCTAGTGAGGAGCGGGTAAGAAGTCCATCTCAGATCCCCCAGCCTCACCCCAGGTCAGCTGGTGCACACGTCTTTGGAGAATGAGATGTGCTGTACTCCTCCCCCCACACACACTGTGCCTTGGGCCTGATGTTCTCATTCTGAATCTTCCAGACCTTGGGCTGGGTTCCCTCAGCTGGAGCCCAAGTTGGAGGGCCCCTAGGAAAATTTCGACTTGGTCAGCAACAGCAGAAAAGCTGAGGGGACCTAGCCAGCTTCAGGGTGCACTGGCATCGTTAAGGGCCCCGCCAGAGGAAGTCTCTGGTCATCGCCACCCCAGCTCTTCCAGCCAGGCAGATGGAAGCGGTGTTGGCTGTGAGGGTCAGCACCCTTACCCAAGCCCACATCCCTACTGTGGAGGGGAGCGCACTTGCTCATGGGGCACAGAGCCAGCGACTTGCATACGGGCTCCCCGGACAGGGTGTTCAAGGCCAGAAGCCCCCACAGGGCTGCTGGGACCCAGCTCTAATGGGGGAATCCTTTCACCACTCCAGAACCTGTCACTTCCCCCTTGGGATTGGCGTGATAACGTCTCAAGCTACAGTGTAGGAGGTATTGAACTTGGTCTCCATGGGAAACCTTAGTCTTACAACCTCACAGTGGTGGGTGTTATCGCCACTGGTTTGAATAGCCAGGGCTCAGAGGGGTCAGTGGCTTAGCACCTGCTACACATCAGGCATCCCCCCCCAGCCCCGTCTGCCTGTCCCCCCAGGTCTCAAGGCAAAGGAGGGGCTCCCTGGGTGTCCCTCCTGCACCTCCCTCTGTCCTGGTCTCCAGGTCCCCAGTGGGCCATCTCTTGCCTGTCTTCACCCTTGGTTTCATTGTTGCATCTTTTGAGCACCTGCTGTTTGTGGGATGCACTGGGCTGTAATTAGTTGTGAGGGCAGGGATGGGGTCTTAGTTTGCACAGAGTCTCCTCTGAGTGGCCCAGTGAAGGGAGGGCTGGGCCTGTATTAAGAAGGAGTCTTCCTTACACACTCACACACGTGTGTACACATGTACACAGGCTGGTACACAGGGGGCACACAGGCAACTGCCTTTATTGGGAGACCTTGAGCTTGCAGGCTTCACTCGAAGGTCACACCTTTAATCTTGAATTCGCCATTGGCTGACAGGTAGTTGATGGCCTCCAGATTGAGGCGGTTGGGGAACTTGAACGTGTACCCATCGGGCAGCTTGATAGTCAGCTCGGCCTTGTCGAAGGTGATAGACACCTGGGAGCAGAGAAGAGCCTTGAGTAGGAGTCTCCCGCTGCCCCTTCCTCACGTGGTCCAGAGGAGGGCCCACAGTCGCAGGGGCGGGGCCTAGGTCTCCTCCCACCAACGCCCCACCCCCTTCCCCGCCCACGTGAGGAGATCCTCGCCCACCCCGCCCAGGCCCCGCCCCTTTGGTCACTGCCCCGCCCCAGGCTAGTCCACATGGGCTGAAAACTCCCACCCCAGGCCCAGGCCCCGCCCATGTCAGGCCCCGCCCCGTCCCTTGCCTGGCCCCGCCCACCCCACCTCCACGTCGCTGCCCGGCTGGAAGGGAAAGGCTTGCTCCCGGTGCTCCTTGCCCCAGACGCTGTTCTCCTTGCTGTTGCACACGATGGTGTTGGCGTCCCCGTGGCAGTTGAAGCGGGGGTTGAAGTGCAGGCACAAGTTGTTGCTGTCTTGGCCCAGGTTCAGCACGAAGCTACAAGGGTAAGCAGAGGGCATGAGGCTGCTGGAACCGGCTCCATCCCCCAGCAGCCTGCCTCGCTGGCCCCAGTTCTGTGTGCCCCTGCAGGGCACTATGCGAGACACTCAACAGGGAGAGGAAAGCGGCGCTCCACTTCTGGGCCTGCCACCTACTCCCTCAGCCACTTCGGGTTTCCTTCTTCCTCCCTCCCTCCCTCTTTCTTTTTTCCTTTTTTTTTTTTTTGGTAGATTTATTTGTTTTATTTGAAAGGCAGAAATTGCAGAGAGAGGAGAGACAGAGATCTTCCATTCACTGGTTCACTCTCCAAATGGCTGCAATGGTTGGAGCTGCGCTGGTCTGAAGCCAGGATCCAGGAAATCCATCCAGGTTTCACGCATGAGTGGCAGAGGCCCAAGGACTTGAACCATCTTCCATTGCCCTCCCAGGCCATGAGCAGGAACTGAATCAGAGTGGAGCAGCTGGGACAGGAACTGGTGCCCATATGGGATATTAGTGCTGCAGGTAGAGGCTTAGCTTGCTATGCCGTGGCACTGGCCCTAGAGACAGCTGACTTTTAAAAATCAATTTATTTATTTGAATGTCAGTGTCACAGGGTCGGGGAAGAGAGAGCTCTTTCATCTGGTGGCTTGCTTCCCAGATGGTCACAGTCGCTGGTGTTGGGCTGGACTAAAACCAGGAGATAGAAACTTCTTCCGGGTCTCCCATATGGAGGCAGGACCTCAAGCACTTGGGCCATCCGCCTTGCTTTTCTCTGGCAATTAGCAGGGAGCTGGATCAGAAGTGGAGCAGCTAGGATTTGAACCCATGACCACATGGGATGCTGTTATCACAGCCAGTAGCTTCACCTATGGTGCCACAACTCTGGCCCCTCTCTTAAGGTCTTTTTTGTTTTGTTTTCTCTTCAATTTATTTTATTTATTTGAGTTACTGAAAGAGGAGGAAAGGAGAAAGAAAAAGAGATTTTCCATCTGCTGCTTTCCTCCCTGATTGGCTGCAATGGCTGAGGCTAGGCCAGGACAAAGCCAGGGCCCAGGGGCTTCTTCGTGGTCTCCCATGTGAGTCTAGAAGCCAAAACTCTTAGAGCATCTTCTGCTACTTACTTCCCCGGGTGCACTAGCAGGGAGCCGGATTGAAAGTGGAGCA